TGTTATTGCAAGTGTAACGAATCGCACACTGAAGATTCGACATTTTACATGCCATGGTAGTTGTGAATTTAGAACATGTGTTGTGTGTTTCCAAAATTGAATTGTGCATGGTAGATAACTTTTATCTTGTATATACATGTTGATATATACGTTATTGCACAACTTCTTGATTTTGCAAACTTAGGATATCAAATGTTTGACTACGACTATGACATGGTTCTAGTACGGGGGATGAGAGCTCCTCCTATAAGTTTAGTGCGCACATAGGGTAAGTTGCCCATGGGTTAGTAGCCCAAAAGTATCCCCATATCGGTCTAATCCGATCGATGTCCGAGTATCCACCTTTGTTGATTTCACTTTTCATTACAAGTAATTAGCACTAAATTGTTATAACTTGTTGTTTCCGCATTTTAGATTTCAAGTTGATAACTTTGATAATCTATGTCATGATGCGTTGTATTAGATGTTCTAATGATACTCAATTGTTATATTTAGTTGTTTTTCACATTTTAGATTTTAAATGGTTATATTTGATAATCTATGTCTTGATGCATTGTATTAAAAGTTCTAATTATACTAAATTGTTATATTTAGTTGTTTTCGCACTTTAAATTTTAAGTTGATAATATTGATAATCTATATTTTGTTGCGTTGTATTAGAGGTTCCAATGTTAGTTAAATTGCATTAAAATTGTAATTTGTGTGTTAATAGTTCTAATGTAGCCTAGGATGATTCCATAGACTCATTTGGAACTTAGACGTTAGGTGGCATGAACTGTTTTGGTTATACATTTTCGCATTTTAAGTTACAAGTTGATAACTTTGAATACCTATGTGTTGTTGCGTTACTCCATATGTTCCTATGTTGTTTACTTGCATAAATATTGTGGTTTATGCTAGAAATGTTTTAAAATAATTTAGGATGATCCCTGAGTCTCACTCTTAATTGACATAGACGTTAGGTGGCATGAACCTTATGAATTGTTTCGTATTTATGTGATAAACTTGTAAAACGTTAGGTATATGCATGCTCATCTCCTACGAGTAGCTTTATGTTACTCACTCACGTAATGTGGATATTTTTCAGGTACATGAACCATGATTTGGGATGCACATGCATTATGCCTTGGAGATTCCGTAGACTTGAAGTATTTGATTCATGCAATGCTATTTTTGATTCATAATGTCAAAACTTGTATATTTGATTCTAAATATGTATTATGTACATAAGTGCATCTTTTGAGATGTATTTGACATGTATGTAATGAGGCTATAGGCCAAGTATTTTTATTTTGTATTCTAAGTATTTTTATTTTCAAGTGATTTTATTGAAAAATAGAAAAATGGCACGCTTACTTCACTATATTTGCATGGGTGGTGGGAAGTGGGTTTTAGCACTTCCATAGGGTCTCTTTAATTATGTATGAAGTGTGACGAAGGGCCAAACGGTCTTTTGAGACCATTTGATAATTTTAGCTTCAAGTTTATCTTTTTAAAATCATTTTTAGCAAAATTTGAAGTTTAATAGGTGATATTTTGTATTTAGCGACCATTGAGGCTGTAGGCCATTGGAACGCGTGTAAATATGTATATTACACTTGCATGAATGCTCACCTTTTACAAAATATCACATTTGTATGAAATGGATGCGTGTTTGTCTCAAGTTTTTCATTTAAAGCATTTTCTTTGCATTTTGAGATTCAGATAGGTCGTATTTTGCATTGGATATTTTTGGGAGGCGCGGACCATTCCTGCACACTTAAAATCACTAAATACATTTGCGTGCGTGATCATTTTAGCACACAACACCATTTCAAATTTTGTACATGACCTCCTAGTCACCGGAATTAGCTTTATCGTAGTTAAGTTTTGGAGTGACTTTACCATAATACTCCCAATACGAAAGAACTTATTAATGTCAGAACCGGCAATATTTGATAATTTTATTGTACCATATTCCCTACTACTGAACCTTCTGTACACAAGCAAGTTTTTTTTCTTAAGATGCGTTCAATTTGCATAGAATTGAAACTTCAAAATTGAAATTTGTGAAATTAAAGAAAAACAACTCACAAAATTGAATAAAAAATTTCTCCAATTCCACCAATTCTTATTCCAAAACTTTAATTTCATGTAGCCGAATACAGTAACTCTGTCTTACCGAAAAGAGAAAACTTGAGTCCATTTCTAACATTCAATCAATATATGCATTAGGACCATCACCAATAGTTGTATCTCTATCTCTAACATATCCAAACTCACATACACATACACATCCATTATTGCCCCTACGAGATCGACTTGATTAAACCCCTTAATTTTGTACAGTATTTGGTAAGAAAAAAAGAGTAAGTGGTAACTCTTCCACTTTGGAAAGAGAAAAACATCATTCTATTTCTAACATACAATCAATGCATAAGAACAACCACCAATAGTTGTATCTGTAACATATATATCCAAACTCAAACACAGACTTGATTGATACCATTTGATCCAATGATCCAAAGACTGTGGGTAGTAACTCTCTATCTTCTAAAACAAAGTGCAAAGAAAAAGAAAAGATCAGACTATTTCTAGCACTCCATCAATGCATAAGATCAAACCACCACTAATAGTTGTATGTCATCTACTTCAAATCCCTAATCAAAAAAATAAAAAAACAAAAAAACTTGTGCATATATATATATATATATGTGAGAATTACTTGTCATAACAATAACAATAGTAATAATAACTGATGATATCCAATCACCAAGAAACTGCAAGAAAAATGAAATCAATAACCCATATCGATTTCTTTGGAGTGCTAATGTACGCTTCCCCTCTCAGTCATGGTACGTATCGATTTTATTAATATGTGCATACCATATATATATATATATATATTGATCCTAGCTAGCTATCCTCTGTTAATATTATTATTATTAATTTTTGCTTTCATTAATTTTGAACGTCCAGAGAAAAGTTATCAAGACGAAAAGCGTGGAATTTATGCCATTTTGGCTCTCGGTGGCTGCCTTCTTGAACGGAGCTGTCCGGCTCGTATATGCCCTCCTCAAGTTTGACCTCTTCATCCTTGTACGTTCAAATAATCATTCTTCATTCTCCACAAACTCACTGTTGTCATGATTATTTTTGCAGCTAGCTAGTGTGTGTGTGTATATATATATATATATATTCTGAATATGCATGATACATTAATATTACTAGCTAGTTTAATTAACATTAATACATATTGTTACATTATATATGGATTGATGACCACCTTAATTGTATATGTTATGTTATTTGTTCACCTACTAACTAACTACACTATTTTGTTGTCTTCTATATATATATATATATATATATATATATATATATATATATATATCAGATTTCAAATGGTCCTGGAGCATTATCCGGTGCTGTGCAGCTCATACTATATGCCTATTACCGCAAGGGACCAAAGAAAGGCATGACGTGAAGCCATCTGAGGTGCAGCTCCCAAATGCATCACTTGTTTAGATAGAAATCAAAACAAATACAAAAAAAAAAAAACATAACCCCAACGTGTTGGCCTGGTGGAAGAGGCTTGAGACTTGGAACCTTATTGAGTTTCAGGTTTTAAGTTCGATTCCCCTTAAGTGCGTGGAAGAGGCTTGAGACTTGGAACCTGATTGAGTTTCAGGTTTTAAGTTCGATTCCCCTTAAGTGCGAGCAATTTCTTGAGGCCACGACCGTGGACATAGTTCGAGTTTTACCCGATCCGTGTGGGTGTCGCCTTACACAAGTCCTTAGGGCTAAGCCTCGGATACATCAAGTTTTCCAAAAAACAAAAAAAAAATTGAGTTGTGTAAATTAATTTACAGTCGAGGATTTACTTTTTTAGGGATAGATCGAATAACATTAGTTGCCTGGGTTTCTGTTAGCTTCTTAATTGCAGCAATAAATTTGTGACTGCATTCAAATATATGGATTATTGATTTCATTTTTACTTTCAATTTCTTTGTGATTGAATATCATCAGTTATTATTGCTATTGTTATTATTATGACAAGTAATTCTCACATATATGATATATATATATATGCACAAGTGTTTTTTTTTCATTTTTTAATTAGGGACTTGATGTAGACGACATACAACTATTAGTGGTTGTTCTTGTGCAATATTGATGGAGTGCTAGAAATAGTCTGATCTTTTTTTCTTTTTCCTTTTTTTTTTCTTTATTTCTTTTTTCTTTGCACTTTGTTTTAGAAGATAGAGAGTTACTATACACAGCCTTTGGATCAAATTGTATCAATTTTTCTTGCTAGTGAAAACAGTGTCCTTATATCAAATCTTAAGCATATTAGCTTTTATAGTTTCTTACTTCAAATTAACACATCCTCCGAAATTTAGCTACTTCAGCAAAACCTAGAAGCAATATCCACCATTAACCAAGTCTTTTTCTTGGACTCTCTTAATATCTATTTTTTTTTTCTTTTACCATTAAATAGTCGAACACATCCAACTAATTTTATATAATTATCGCTGACATTCAATAAATACATATAAGAATAACTCCACCAAAAGTTGTCTTTGTAACATATCAAAACTCAAACACACATCAATTATTTACCCTAAGAGACTTGATTGAACCCTTAATTTTTTTATTTAGTAAAGAAAAATTGATACTATTTGATCCAAAGAAATGCAAAGAGAAAAAAAGTAGTAGCACTCAATCAATACACAATGCATATGAACCACCACCAATAGTTGTATCTCATCTACATCAAGTTAATAATAAAAACTAGTGATGCTACCCAATCACACAAAGAAACTGTAACTGAAAATGAAATCAATCAATCAATCAACCATATGTTTGAATGGCAGTCACAAATGTACTGCTGCTAAAATGTTATTCTGTCCACAAACAAAGCCGAAGTAAAATATATAAGAAATCCCGAACTGTAAAATTTACAGAGCTCAAAATTGTTTTGCCGCCCCCCACCACAAACTGAAATTGGGGAACAGGAAGAAAAAAAATTGAAATTGAAGTCTAAACAGGTGATGCATTTGGGAGCTGCACTTCGGACGTCTTCTTCTTACGGCCCTTCTTTGGAGTTGACTTGTAGTAAAATGCATATAGTGCGAGCTGAATAGCACCCAGTGCTGCTCCCGACCCATTTCCAATCTGTAATATAAGATTAATAGAAATTAGAATAATGTAATTAGTAGGTGAATGTATTCCATTTATATGAAAATCACAACAAAGTTAATTAAGGATCAACAACTCAAAGTCTAATTATCTAACTGAAAAAAAAAAAAAAAAAAAAATGTCTAATTATCTGAAATAAGAGATCGGTTTTGCCAATGGACTGATTTATGTAGTTCAGCTATTCTTCATTCCAAACCAAGTGTTAATCATCCTAAAAAGCTAGTGTTTCAAACACCCTTTGAATACATTACCCAATTTAACAACTCAAGGTGTGACTACAATAACACCCTTTGTATAGTTCACAATGACGAGAACTAAAACAGACTCTATTAAGCTATTCTTCATTCCAAACCAGTGTTAATCATTCTAAAGAGCTTGTGTTTCGGTCAATTTATCAATTCAAGGTGTGACTACATTACGTACAATCCTCAATCCATAATATAACATTAATGTTTAATAAATCTAAACTAGTAATGTATCTGATTTTACTTGAGAAAATATCATAAACTTGGCATTAGTATGTATAGAATTCAGAATACTCAGTGCAAATAATCATCATAACAGCTTGTGCAGAATGAATTTACCGTGATGTAAAGGTCGAATTTGAGGAGGGCATAGCACAGCCAGCAAAGTCCGTTCAGGAAGCCGGCAACGGAGATCCAGAATGGCATATATTCCACACTCTTAGTCTGGATAACTCTTTTCTGTTCAAAAGAAAATACACAATTAAAAGAAGATCTAAAAATGAATGAATGTTGGACCAATTGAAAAGATGGATGTGAAAATTTGGGATTTGAAAAGATGCATACCATGATGCCAAGAGGGGAAGCGTACATCATCACTCCAAAGACAACACAGAAGATTCCCACAAACATGGATCTCTTAGTATAGGTGTGAAATTGCGTAAGCGTAACAGCGGCAATAGCTCCTATGAACACCAACTCAAAACACACAAACCCAACTACCTTCCACTGAAATACACAGACATTCCATAGAATGTAAAAACTAATCAATATACTGTAACAACTAGCAACATAACTGTGAGAGTACTTAAATTAATCGACCGGATTGTGCTAAGACTTAATCCATTGCAGCTATTATGAGGTTCAATTAATTATCTATTGATACTGAAGATTTAAAAACAGAGTACCCTTTTGGCTTCGCTGAAATATATGAATATGCCGAGATAGCAGAGCTCCAATGCAAGGCCAATGCTGTTGATAGTGACCACAAGAGTGCTGTCTGGATGAACAACTGGTAATCCATAAAAGATCCAAAAAAGGCAATTCATCACAGTTGCAACATAAGGAAGGAAACTGAACTCCTCCACTGCTTTGTTTTGGATGATTCTCCAAAATGTTGGCCTGCAAAGGCATTCATTTAAAATTACCCAAAAAATATAATAAAAATTCATTTATTAGAAAATCATATGATCAATCATTAATAAGAAAAAAGATTTTGTAGGCAATAAAAGGAAAATTTATGGACAAACTCATGCAAAGCTCATGTAATATAACTATTTATAAGATTTTCAATTTATAAAACAAAACTCAATCAACATCTATAGGCAGCGATTTGATCCAATGAAGGTTCAGTTACATATATATAAATAGATATATATGTGTGGAGAGAGAAAGAGGGAGAGTTTACATTGGTGACGCAAACAGACCGAAAGAGATGACATTCCCTGCAGAACAACAGGGCAGTATTCAGAGCATTGAAAATTGACTTCACAATTAGATTGGACAAAGTAAACATAAAGAAGATAATATGCTTAGCTTAGATGAAACTAGTATCAAGTAATCAGACCATTTCTCAATAAAACTAATGGAAAAAAAAAATGTATTTTACTTTACATTATATATATGAAACATGTTAAATAACAACAACAACAACAACAATAATAAATTAATTAACAACAGCAGCAACAATAATAATAATAAATTAATTAACAACAGCAACAACAACAATAATTAATAAATTAATTAACTATGATTATAATAAATACGAATAGATGATTAGGCAAATCTAAAACACAATTGGTAATTTCTGATTCCCTATAACATTGCCTTTTTCTCGGTAACCAAACGGTATTCAGAAACAAGTCGAGATCATCAGAAGAGTAAATTAATTAACAACAGCAACAACAACAATAATTAATAAATTAATTAACTATGATTATAATAAATACGAATAGATGATTAGGCAAATCTAAAACACAATTGGTAATTTCTGATTCCCTATAACATTGCCTTTTTCTCGGTAACCAAACGGTATTCAGAAACAAGTCGAGATCATCAGAAGAGTGTGTGAGTTCGCGGATGTGATATATATCCTTATATGTGTATGTATGAGTGTACTTGAATATATTAATAAAATACAAGATCTATGAGACTGATATCAAATACACAACAAAAAGAATATATCAACCAGATAAAGGATCTCAAAACAGAACTTAATTCCAGTAGAAGATAACATCACATTGAATAAGAAACTACAATTTTTCTTGTAACTTTCTAGAGAAACAAACAGCAAATCTCCTTTAAATTTACGAGACAATCTACAAACGATAAATTTAAAAATATCTAAACACAAATCGCATTTCATCATCACTCATCTAAACCTCAAACAACTATATATACATAACGTGGATGCATAATTGCATATATGTATAATATATGAGAGAAAGAGGTTTGAAGAAAACATCACATTGAATCACAAACTACAGAAAGTACAGAGTACAATTTTCCATCCAAGTTCCAGAAAACGAACAGCAAATCACCTTTCAATTTACATCACAGACTACAAATCACACACACACACACGCACATCTCCATTCATGATCGCTATATATATATATATATATATATATAACATGGATGCATATACGTATACATATATATAGAGAGATAGATTTGAAGTAGGTACCGATGACGCCGACGACAGTCCGAATCGATTCTACGTTCACCATCTTTGCAACAGAGAGAAACTTAGAGAGAGAAAGTGGGAAGAGAGGGTGGTGAAAGTGTGAGCTAGCATGTGAGGGGCGAAGAGAGGATTAAATAGACAGACTCAAACTACAAAAGCATAAAAAGAAGTTGTGAAGTGGTAAATATCTAATGCTGATAAGATTTTAGGATTTCATCACCCGATAAGATTGCGGATTTAATTTTGTAATACTTCGAAATCCGGTAAATTGAATTCAATCCAACTTTATCCGTCATAAGAATTCTTTTCTCACTCTAAATTAATCACTTCAGTCCAATTTAAAATAAAAAATTTATTCAATTTTTAGAGTCTGATTTTTGCAGTATTCAGTCCAATTAAAACCCTGTTTTATTCAATTTTCAGGTTATGATTTTTTAATTGCAGAATTTTTATTTAACTGGACCCCATGCTCTTCAATGGTCCAATAATGGCTCACAGCACACATGTACATATATATACATGTATATGAATGTGAATTCAGACTCTATATATATATATATCTATATATAGATAATATGGATATATGTTATCATGTATATAGATATAGATATGAATTGTTACAATATTTGTGTGCATGCGTTCATGGAATGTGGAGAGTAGCGAGGCGTTCAGGTCGTTCAGTTAGTTATTGGGGTTACGTAATTGGTCATGAATTTAAAGGTAATTACAATTTCTGCCCTCGGAATGGATAACACGTAAAAAACGTGGCGAAGAAGCGCAGGGCAAAAGTTTGCTTTTGTTGTTTTTTACTAGCCTCCACGTAACTGGAACTCTACTTGTGCTCCAAGTGGAGTAAAAAAGTGCCCTTATCAATTGAGGTCACATGGGGAAAATAAAAATAATAAAAAACTGAGGTCACATGTTCTGCACGTGACCGAGGTTAAATAATTTTGCTTTTTTCTAATATATAAGATTTATTTATTTATTTTTACTGACAAATTAACAAATAATATATCTAATTATTCACTATTTAAAAATTGTTTATTATCATGCATAATGGTTTTATTTAATGAATACCTTTTAGAGAGAATGTGGATTTGTAGCGAGTATTCTTGTTATTTCAAATATCATATTTAATAAGACTCTTAATTAATAATGGATAAAGATTAAAGTTACACATCAGTACTATTACTATTGAGCACATCAGTATTATTACTATTAGTATTATTACTTTTGAGCCAAACGATAATAGGATAGGATTTAATTTTACAGGAATTAATTCATGGACAATACTTGCCTACTCACTGGTGAGTATGAGGTTTATACTTACTATCGATGTGGCACAACAACAAAATGACAAATGTTCTATAATGTAAAAAAATAATAATAATAAAATATTTAAGAAGTTATTTGGTAAATCCAATATGATCCAAATCAAACCCATATGGACTATCTTTTTCTTATGTTACTCTATTGCTCTAATCCCTAAGCCATAAGGAATCACAAGTACAAGTATCTTGCTCAAATCAAATTCATGGAAGTAAATGGATTAGTATTTTTTATTATAGGTGATAAGAATTCATATATGAATTACTAATAATAAGTCTATTTTAATGCAAATACTCTAGCAGGGAGTGGCTAGGTTTACATAATTTTTTTTGGATTTGATTCGAATTTTATAAGAAAGAGAATAATCAAATTAGGATTTGATTTAGATTTTATTGGTTTTAACCTCAATAAAATTTCAAATTTTTTATTTTTTATTAGAGGGACACTTGTCACTATGTTGTTGAGCCACATGAATGGTAAGCATGATGTTTCTACTCATCGGTGAGTAGACAAGTATTATCCTTACTTCATAATCTAATAAGCCACGTAATATTAATTATATGAATCTTTAAATTCCACCTGTCATTTTCTGGATGACTTAAATGAGTCAAAGATATTTCTCTCTCTTATATTGGGCGAAGTTCCTCTCTCTCCAGTGCACCAACAACTTGACTGAGTAAACATTTTCTCTCTCCTCAATTAACATGTTTGGGAAATGGGAAACTCCTCTTTTTCCCAATTTTATTTTAACAAAAAATAAGTGAACGCATGCATATAGATTGAATAAAGTGGGATTTATGTGAATTTCACTTTATTAAATAAATGTTTGTGAGATACTATTATAAATATTTTAACAAAAAGTTACAAATATTATTTGTGGTGAATTTTATAACGATAATTATGGTAATTATGGTTGCTTTTACCAGCAACATTATTACCAAAACATGGAGTTACTCTTTTCCAACTTCTATGTTGGTTCACTTCTAGTAGCTAGGTCAAGGTTGGTCGATCAAATGAACAACTCACATATTCATATATTTGTTCTTTAGAAAGATGGTTGAACTCTTATTATTATTTTTATTATAATAATTTATTTAAGTTTATTAATGAATTTCACTGTATTATTTATTTATTTTTCAACACATTTAGTACATTATTTTTCAACACATTTCTCAACACATTTAGTATATTATTGAGTTTCATTACATTATTCATCTTTTTATTTCTATTCCATTTCTATCTCTTCCCTAATAATAAATTTTCTGTGATCCTATACTATTTCTAACTCTTTTCATTATACTGATCATTTACTTCTTTTTAATTATATTCTCTTTCTAACTCTTTCCTAATAATAATTTATATTTTTTATAATTCTATTAATTTTTTAATAATATATTTTAAATTTTATAATCAATATTTCAAACTTAAAATGGTAAATTAATAACTTTTCAGGGACAATGCATGTTTACATATCCTCTTAAAAATTTATAATAAATTTGATAATCCAGTCACTATCAATACAATAAAAAAAATAAATAGTAAAAGTAAAAGTCATCCTTTTAAAAAGTTAGATTTTCAAAAAAGAACATATATTTTTTTTAGGAAAGGGGGGAGTATTATTTAATTCAATAAATATATAAAAACAATTCTTTCACTAATAGACTCCTAAATATTCTATATCAAATATTAATAAAATGCAAGTCCATAATCTTTGTAATGTACAAGGACCTCCACTATTTCTTATATTTATTACAGAATTCTATACACAAAATATTTTTCTTACACAAAATGACAGAATGTTATTGTAAAAAAACTTAATACAAATCTTATAATTGAAATTAAAAAAATTAAGTTAAAAGTTTAAAATTTTTCTCTTATTAAGGCGCGGAATTGGTGTTTCGGAACACAGCTTCATTTTTTATACTTGCATGCAATCACAAGTCATATTGTGCATGATCATCATATTGAGCGGGTGGGCCGGGCTGGCTCTATATGAATGACCAAGCCCAGTCGGTTCTGAGCACAAGTACTACAGATAGCCCATGCCCGTGCTTGAGCGTGTGATGCAGCCCAAGCCCAATTCCATACCTTATTTTAATTTTATTTCTTTGTATGTATTGGCTTCAAATTTTGGAGTATTTTTCAAGTATTTATCTTTCTTACATTATAAATATTTTGTTTTTTTCTTATTTGTCTATTGATATTATTAGTCACATTAATTGAATTTCTTTTTTTTTCTTTTTTTTTTCTTTTTCACACTGACTAAATATTGACTCCTTGCTTGAACAAGCGTACACATTGAGCTCACAAAACGCAAAAGAAAAGAAAGAAGAAAAAAACAAATCTAATGTCATAATCGAACTTCATATCATCTTTTTCAATCAACATACTCTAAACTGTTACACGTTGCTATCAGTCTTATTCTTTTTCAAAGTTTCAGACGAGAATTAAATATGCATTGAAGCACACACACGTCATTAAGCTTCTATGAACAGTTCATAAATATGTGTGTTTGTGTGTGTTGTGTGTGTGAGAGAGAGTTTGTGATGAACATAATGTGAGGGGGGTCCTCACCATTGGATGCCTTATACCCAACAAAACGAATCTTCCAGGCCTCTAGGCATGGTTCATGGGCCTCACTGGGCCCATACTTTTTTGGACATACTCTGATAAATTGGGAGTGATCCATATATTGGCATGTAAAGGTGGAGATGACGTGGCCTCTTCTAATCCAAACGAATAGGAAAACAATATAATTGATGAATTTGATGTGAAAATTAGTGATTAAAATAAATATTTAAAAGAAGAATTTATTATTTTTAAAACCTGACAAGAATTCTTATTGAACACTATTTATTGAAGTTATAGCAAAAATTGATCATTATTTATTTTAAAGTTGAAGAATTTAAATAAAAAATGAGTCAAAGCGAATTGTATAATGAGTCTTGCTTTACGTGTTAGAATTGGAGTATACTTAGATTACTTTAGAATTAGAGTCGAATTTCAATTTTTTGATGCATCAATGGATTAATTTAGTAGAAGTTAGATTTAGAGGCATATTCGACCACTCAATTTTATCTAAAAACAAAAGTTTATATTGGACATACTCAAACTTGAACCCTCCATCTTTAACTTAGATTTGGAATGAAACATTCAAATATTTCATTAATTTCATGTGTTGGACACAGTCACATGGAGTCCGTTTAATACCAATTTTTTTTTAATAAAACAAATATAAATTTTCAAATATTTGTCAAGATAGCTCAGGTAATTAAGATCTATGTTGAATTTGAAGCAAGCAATTGAGCATCCCAAGGGAACATTTTCCGAATCAGTTTATCCGAATTAAGTGTAGGGTCACCTTAGTCTCTGACATGGACTAGCTTTGACTGTGTTTATATATATGTATGTGTGTGTGTGTATATATATATATATGTGTGTGTGTGTGTGTGTGTGTATAGGTTGGCATTAACTTATAATTCAGACTTGTTTGGTATGAAAGCTACGCGCGAGCACTATCTTAGAATCACCATTCTTTGTATCACCTATACTTAACAAACGGGAGGAGCTACTTAGGCAGTTAGGCCCCAATGGACGCATAATGCCCCTACTCAAATATTATTTCTTTTCAATTCTATATATATACATATATTATCATTATTATAAAGTTTCTCCATCAAATTATATTATATGTAATTAGCCTTAATTTAAAAGTGGAAATTAAGTGTGTCGGTTTAGACAATTGTATAGTGTAAAAGTTTTTTTCTAGAAAAATTTTGTAATGTCATTTTAAAAACATTTACAAACACAATCACACACACAAACACACACACACACACGGGTGTGTGTGTGTGTCTCTCTCTCTTTCTCACACACACGCGCGCGTATATGAAAGGATAAAATTAGAAATGATACAGTCAGGAGATAGTCGGAGTAATACAAATTGGAAATATAAGGAGTGCAAAAAAAGATATTTAAGACTCTGTTTGTTTGGACGTAAAACATTGTTCAGAAAATATTTTTTTATTTTTTAGTGCTTGGTTGTGGTAAAATATTTACGAAAAAAATATATATATTAAAATTTAACAAAAATAACTTATCCATCAATTTTCGATAAGTTATTTTACACGTTATTTTACATACCCCGTATGATGGACTCGACTTCAATTTTGACGTAGATCTTTACTAAACACTGACAAAGTAAAAATAAAAAAATATTTTATCTAAAAAATATATATATATTTTTTTAAAAAAATATTTTACGTGAAAACAAACCGAACCTAAATGTGAAAGTTAAGAAGCGTCACCATCTACATTAAATATAATGACAAGGGAAGAGGAAATCTAAAGTTATGGCGGGTAAAGTTAATAGAGGATAATTTGATCATAGCACGTGATATGCGGAAAAAAGACGAATATATTTTTCTTCTCTTCTTGGACAGTAATTTTATGAAGGAAAAATAAGGTGATTTTGGATGAAAATTGGCATCTAGTGAAGTAAATTCTTGACTCCACCTTACATATACATATATATATATATATGTATATACACACACACGAGTCTAATGATCTAATCCCAATCGTATCTGAAAAGCATTGTTCCTCAGCTACCTCCACCTTTTTATTTATGGCTTTTCATCCCTTTTGAGTTTGCGCTTCATTCTCACCGCCACCTTTTTCCAATCCATTCGCAGTCAAAAGATACCAGCATTTAGTTCCTTCCCTTAGCAATGAAGGATTGAATTATTCTCTTTTAACTATTATTTTAACTACTCTTCGGGTTGACATACATAGAGATAGTGCTATACAAAATTAGTGTTTCTCAACGTTTTGCACTGTAGCAAAAATAACACTACCAAAACAAAAAATAAAAAAAAAAAAAATTTCAAAACAAAAACGATTGTTAAACACGTCCTGAGCCATTTTTGAGTGTGTTGCCTTGTAGATCTAAATAACTTCTGGACACCCCTTTAATTCTTCTTCTTCTTCTTCTTCTTCTTCTTCTTCTTCTTCTTCTTTTTTTGTATAGTGCATAGGTACAGCATGATTACTGCATGGTCCTCGTGATGTTAAAAAAAAATTCTATTGGTACCCTTGTGCTTTCATATACGGAGTAATTAATTAGTATTAATTGCCAATATTAATTATTATTATTTTTTCTTATTGTATTGTTGTTGTTATTATAATCATTATAGGTGGTTACTGAGTTGTGCCTGAAAAGGAGTAAAATCTAATTTCTTTTTTAACACCAAAATAATACTACGTATAATGTCTAAAAACCGGGTGAAAATGACAAATACTCCTTAATTTCAACGCATATATATATATATATATACATACGCACACACACACACACGGAGTATATATGATAATGGCCATTTAATTTTATAACAATGTTCCTTTCAGTGGGAAGCCCCACCTACATTGTTTTATTGGTTGGCACAAAACTTTAGGGTTTTAGTAGAGTCACTGTCAACTTTGTTTTAGGATCAAATCTTAGTTAAATGACATACAAGGGATTTGGATTTATGCCTACCACTTTAGTCTACTAATTTTCTTTCTTCAACATAGACTCCGACCATTGAACAACCTAGCATATTGCAATTTCAAATACTCTGATTGAATGCTCTACGTTGGATCATTTAAAAATAACATATATCACCAATATAGATTAATAAAGGTTATAATGGTCATTACCTAGTATGACCTTCCATTAATTGAGTGTGAGAGCTCATCTCACGTGAGATGTGGGATATATGCATGATCTAGTGGGATGTGTATGAACTAATATATAATATTATCCAATAATTTAAAACTTTGAATCAGAGGATAAACAGTCAATTCATTATAAAAGATATCAAAATCAACTATCCTTTTATAGTAAAAAAAATTAAAAAATTAAAATGTGATCCATAACTTTTTGTGTTAAGACATAAGATGAGATTACAAATAAAGTTGGCAAGAAAAAGGATTCAAAAAAATTAAACTATAATTAATGTCTTTTGATTCCTCACTAATTGTTAAAAGGTACTTGTTCCACCCCCTTTTTTTTTCTTTTTTTTTTTTTTTTCAAATTCACCGGAGGCATTAACCACTGAACTATAGAGACATCTACACTTGTTTTACATTAAATTCAAATAAAAAGTGAAATACATATAAATAAATTAATATCTAGCACTATTTAATAATTCAAAATAGACAACCACCTGTTACACTAATCTTGAGGCAATCAAAAAATATTTGGAATTCAGCATCTCTAAAGTACGGAATAACATTCCTTTTAATATCATTAATAACTCCGGTACAAATATCTTTTAGATGTAGTTGAAAGGTTTTGTAGTACATTCACAATTTTCATGTGATACATTTTTTTTTTTTTTTTTTTTTTTATAATAACCGTGATAATATTGTAATTTGTATACCATGCACTTAGATGTTATATGTTACTTGTGTTATATCTATGTATTCCATCATGTATTACTTCAATAAAGTTTACTTTTCTTTCTATTAAAATATGTATATTTATTTCATAATACATGTATCATTCAAGTTAAAAATACAATTTATAATTACACATATATAAGTCATTATTTACTATATATTAATATAACATGATTCATTGTGACATGATATTGACACGATATTGATCACAGTCGTGATGTAACAAATTCGGATAAACATCGTTGTAAATCAATCGAACCAATCAATTCATAAAAATATGTAACGATATTAAACCCTTGAAAAAGAGTTCAACCATAATATATATATCAAATAGGAAATTAACATAATTGAAAGAAAAAAAAAAAACTTATTTATTATCCATCAAGAAATCAAAATTTTATTTACGACTACTATGATCGAACTCCATTTCACATGCCAGCAAACAATTTTCGAAAAAATTATTCCAAAGAGAGCATTTGATACTCCCTAAAAAATTCCTTTATACCATTTAATTGGTTTCATCGTTTGTTTTATTATTATTATTATTTGTCTTTCAGCATCGATGTATTCTGACATAGAGCATTGTCTATATTTGGCTGTGCTGGCACGATCCACGAATACCATCTGTTCTATTCCTACTAATCCAACGGCTCAGATCCAACTGAACATCTGAACATCAATCTCCCATGGGGCAAACTAGTGACCCCCCATGTTCAAGTCTTTCTCAATCCACCTAACAAATCAAAGCAACTGAGAAATTACCAAAATCTCTGTAGCGTCATCCACATTCTAACATGTAAACTTAAACCATCTAGGGGTATTTTCGTATTTTTCTTGCACAAACATTGATATAAAACCATGTGTTCTCACCTCTATCAATTTTAGTTGCAAAACACACCTACGAGAGACACACATATAGAGAGAGAAACAAACATAAGGTCGTCGCCGGAATCTGACCCACCGGTGACCACTGTTTCGATCGACCCTCCTTTTTAGATATATATATATTTATATATTAACCTCTTATTGTTCGTGTGTTAGTATAAATCTGCTGCTATTACATCAATTCACCGGCGAAATCTGAAACGCCGGAAAATCTGGGTGAAGTTGTTCGCGTGATGGGATTCTGCATCTGTCCGTTGGAGACTCCGGCGAGGTTACTATGGAGTACTAGCTTCTTCCGTCACAAGCTCATGCTCTTCTAAAACTTAATCAGACCAAAGTTCTAATAGACCTACAGTTTTCAAACTCTGTTCTAAAGTTTCGTTTCGCCGGAAATATATATATATATATATATATATATAGCGGTTATATATTTACGGTGACAATCGCCGGAAATCTCACACACTCACAAAATATATAAGAATGGATTCTGGGCGTCTCTTCTTCGACCCCTCATGCCATGGCAACATCATGTTCCTCGGCAATACTGATCCTATTTTTCGAGGTAATTAATTATTTATTTTATTTATTTTTGTTCCCATATTATTCCTATATTTTTTTAGCATCCAAATTTTTTTTTTGGGGTTCCCATATCAGTCCTATTGCTTCTTGTTTATTACGGCTACTAAATTTGAAAAGAGAAAAAATAATTAACTCATCTAATACTACCATTCCGCTTTGTATTTTAATTTCTATGTGTGTGTGTATATATATATATATTGTTATCTAACTGTTGAATTATATGTCTGATCATAATTAGTATATGACAATGGACTTATAAAAGTGTGACAATTTTGTGGAGACATATAAATTTTATAGATAGTTTTTGTCCATTTTTGTTACTGCCGGTTGATTAATGAGAAATCCCAAGTCAACCCAACTCTAATTCAAGATACATATGAAAGAAAATGAAAAAAAATGATTTTATTTTTATTTTTTTTATTTTTTTGTGTGTGGGTGTGTGTGATTTTATTTATTTTTTATTTTTGTGTGTGTGCTTATTATTGCTTGTTTATTCTTTCTTAAAACTAAGGACTTAGATTGGTTGAGTTTCTAAAAACTATTTTTAAGAATTCACATAACAGAAAACTGTTTACATAAAATTATTTTTAAAAAATTTGTCTTTTATAATTATCTGAAAATAGATAATTTCTTAACTGAATTTTGTTTTAGAAATTGACAACCAAGGCTTTTGTATGATTTTTATGAAAATTGAAACAGACGTGCCTGAAATTTCTAACCCAACTCAACTAAAGAGGGTGAAATATTGAAATAGTATGTATTAGTCTTGATACATGCAATAGTACTCCTTAAGAATTTAATTATTATTACATGGTGTTCCAGGACCATTATCAGTGATGAACATGGAGGAAACTTCAAAGAGGCGACTATTTTTCAGCTCGCCGGAGGAGCTATACGACGATGAATTTTACGATGAAAGGTCGCCTGAAAAGAAACGTCGACTCACTCCAGATCAGGTCAGTGAACTACTGACCTCACTTGCATGATGCTTAATTTGATATATACGAATCTAACCATATGGGACACCTCTATATTCCTTCGAGATATGTATGGCATATTCATATATATACCCTTCTTTTTGTCCCACCATATCAGTATCCAATTCTCTGAATTTCTTTCTAATTAAAAATGATATAAAAGATTAAGACATAATTAACCCTTTTTCAAAGATAATAGAAAATTAAATTTAAAAATATGATTTGGTTTATCACTATATGTAACTTTTTGTGGATTTGTGAAGGTACATCTCCTGGAGAAGAGCTTCGAGGCAGAGAACAAACTGGAGCCAGAGCGCAAGAGCCAGCTGGCTAAGAAACTGGGATTGCAGCCGAGACAGGTGGCGGTGTGGTTCCAGAACCGCCGCGCACGGTGGAAGACTAAACAGCTTGAAAGGGACTATGATCATCTTAAATCCTCCTATGAGTCCCTTTTGTCAGAGTATGACTCCATTCTCAAGGACAACGAGAAGCTCAAAGCTGAGGTATTTTATACTCATCATACATAAGTTAAATCATCATAGAACTACATTCTTCTCCAGATAGATACTATTATATTTTTATTTAAGTAATATAATCTAGTGTATTGATACGAATAAAACAAAATAAAAAAGAAAGGCCTAGCGTGATGCATGTGGGACCCGTCATTGCGGGAGTAAAGGAGAGTTTAATGTACATAAGCTTGTATCCTCTTCGTCATGAGAGACTGTTTTATATTTCGAATTCATCACCTCCAGACGATAATCAGTGTCATTTTGGCCAGGCATGTAGATGATTGATGACTTGCCTGTAATGGGTCCTACCTAAGAGATTCATCCTTAGCTAAAAGATGAATATATATGAGCATGTCCAAAAAATATAGCGTCTGTTCTGTCGACTCTGAACCCATCTTGATTAGTTGAAAAAGATGAAATTTCAATGTACAAAGAAGAATATGCCTTTATAATCCCATGAAAATATGTCCAGAATCCTTATCCCCAAAAAAAGAAAAAATATATATATTCAAAGTCTTTCTAGATGAGCTAGAAATAATGATGATCTTAATGGAAGGTAAAATGGTTAGCCAAGTGCACGAAGCTTCTGTAGGGATTTAGAAAAGGTCAAATGTACACAATTTTACCTTCACATAGAAAGGTTGTTTCCGATTCCAAACACAACACTAGCTTGTGATCAAGCTATTATTATGGCTGCCAAAATAACAGTCCCTTTGGTGAATTAATCAAACTGAAAATTGAAACTAAAGATTTGGGATCTCTGACACGAGTTACACAAATTCCTTTTGTTTTAGAGATCTGAAATAGTAAATATATCCTACTTTTAGTTGACTAAATCTCAATTGCTTAATCAAACGATTAATAGTAATGTTGCATCAGAATCGAATTTGATTTTGGTGACTATAGGTTGTATCAATGACTGAGAAGCTGCAAGCTAAAGACAATGTGGATGCAGCTCCGGTGTCAGATCCAAAATCTGACCCACTCCCCGTGGAAGAGCCCCATGTTTCTGCCCTCGAATTCACTGTGAAGGTGGAGGACCGCCTGAGTAGCGGCAGCGGTGAAAGTGCGGTGGTGGACGAGGACGGTCCACAGCTTGTAGACAGTGGTGAATCGTGCTTCCTCGATGAGGATCATCGCTACCCCGGTTGTGTGGCCCCATCAGAAGAGGACGATGGTAGCGACAACGGCCAGGCTTACTTCTCCGACGTGTTCGTGGCGGCGGAGCAACACCATGAGGAGGGAGAGCCGCTGGGCTGGTGGGTCTGGTCTTAAATTAGTGTTCAACTTTGGTGCAGTACTGTTTTATATTTCCGTGAATGTGTAATATTATATGATGCCTATGGTTGCCTAGTTGTAGAAGTAACGGACAATGCCAGTCGTTGAATAAAACTGTGTTTTTAGGGTCAATTGCTTCTTGTGTTGTATTTAATTACTATTTCTTCTATGTGGTTTAGAAGTAAATTGACCCATTCATACCTTTATTTTGTGATGCATGTAATATATGTGTTTGTGGTTCTGTTCCCAACTGGATGTTGTGTGCCATTCCTCATCCCTTTAAGACTACTTAATCAATTTTTAATCTACTTGATGAGTCTCATATAAAAGTTGAAAGTTATTAATAATTCGACTTTTGGTCAATTTTTTTTGAATGTTGAAGGCTTGTAAGAGTATTTTTTTTTGTTGCGTGTAGTCTGATAATACTGTATACTTTAGTCTAACTTCGTGATAAGTTGACAAGATTGCAAGGGTAATTGGTTGTTTGGAGGGGCTCCAACTAGAATATTTGGAGGGGTATTTTAGTATTTTTCACACTTGTAATAGCCTAATAGGGGGTGGTGGCATATATATTCATTCCAAAGACTGTAATGGCAAGTGTATGTTGTTTTTTGGGAATATTTTAGTATTTTTAGCACTTGTAATGGCCTAATAAGGGCGGTGGCACATAAATTTATTCTCAACGCTTTGTAATTGCAATTGTGTGTGTTTCTTCTTGTATAATAGTATGGAAATTTTTATGGCTTCGTAAATACAATTATGTATCATTTTTCATCATATAATTATAGCGAAATCTCTGCGACTTTGTAACTGTAACCTAAATTCTAAATAAATCATATAAGTTAGTATGTTTTTGCTTGTGTTTTTTGTTTTATTTTTCTTTTAATTTATGCTTTTCAAATAGTCATGCCAATGTTGCATGGATATATAACCATAGATATACCATCTCAAAACATTAGGCTGGCTTATCATAGAGCATATGGTTTTCATTATTTGATCCACTTCATAACTCAAAATTTCAAAATATACAGTAGTTAAAAAAAGAAGAATGCTTATCTTAGTGTGATAAGTCCTCTAATGGTAGATCACAATCCTTTTCTTTATTATTTAATTCTGATGCTGACAGACAATTGAAAAACACCTCCCACCCACATCACTCTCTCACCTACCTGGTGCCAAGTTGGACTTCCATACCCTTCCGCCATTAAGATGCTCATAGTCTTTGTATGAGGTAAGATCAACATCACCATCTGTACTGAGCCATATTGAGATGCTTATACATATATGTATATATCATGTAATATCAATATCAACCTCACAATCGGTGTTAAAGAAATGTCCATTTACCACTCACACAGCGTTCTTATTAAGACCTTGATAAGCTTATTTGTAGTTTTAAGAGTAGGTCCAGATTGTAGCATCACAAACAGTTACTTTTTATCACAGCCCACTTTTTGTGATTGAGGTTGAAAGGGAGAAGATGTGTGAAGTGGCAATAGTCCTTTAAATCCAATTTCAATGATGCTTGGGTGGACAAGTTCAGTATTTTCACTGTTATAATCTCAAAATCTTATTATTAATTTAAAATTTCACAATCTTGAACTTGATCCTACTACTAATTTAGGTTAAGCAGACTTAACTCTAAAGTTCGGGTGGATTCACGGCCATCACGATTTTAAAACATATTGTGTTATATAAAAAGGTGTTAGATCAACATATATCACTTGCTTTCTCCACACTTTAGCGATGTAAGATTGTGCACCTGTAGCTCGCCAAGTGTGGTAGCCTGTCAGTGCCTCGCACCCGTCCACATAAATCGCCACACTAATGACCATGGAAAATTCTAAAATTAACGTCACCCGTCTAATCATATGTCTCACATTGACCCCACAATTATGTGTAATACCAAATTATTCACTCGTACCATCCTCGAATCGAGTGTCTCGCATTATTTTTCTCTAGTGAGGCCAACAATAACGTGAGACACTCGTTAGACAATTATTGTGCATCTAATATTCAAGGTGTACATCCATGGTATAAGTATTGAGACAATTTAAAAGACACAATTGAACAATATTCTCTACAAGAAACAACAGTAACTTCTCTTGTTATAATAAAAATGGGAATTGAAGAAACATGTGTTAGAAGAAATAAGAGGCAACTTTGTTTAATAAGTAAACTGATATTTAATATGGAGCAAGTGTTTACAGTTATTTATATTGATTGTGCTTGAAAAATAAAGAGGCAAGTGATGGTAGGAACTGTTATAGGTGATATGCTCCCTAAGCAGAGTATCCAAGCATTGAAATGGTGGGTGAAGTATGATATTATATTGCCGCGTTGTCCAATTAGATATAGACAGCAAAATTAAGGTAACCAATGCAGCCTTGACTTCTATGGATGACGAGCAACAAAGATAACAATAATATACACAAGTCGACCTCCTTTAAACTAGATTAATGGATTGTCTACTGAACACCTTTTTATATTAATGGATAGTTGTTACGTGTAAAAATTTGTCCAACTTCTAATTCATATGAAGAAGTGGTTGGGTATAAATGAGTGGGTGTATAGTATTGCCCGGTAACTTAAGTTTTTAAATAAATGGACAAGTATTTACCCGTTACAATTGGTATCAGAGTCAGACCTAATCTTTGATCCGGTATCATACCAAACACCCGACTCGAAGGACGTCCGGATCTTCAACCCAGGTTGGTAGGGTGGTTCGATCCCAACTAAGACATTGCGTGAGTTTGGGTGAGGGGAGAATGTTACAAAGGGAGATTTGTCACACATTAGATCCAGATAGAAAAATGATTGGGTATAAATGAGTGTCTGTATGCAGCACTATCCAACAATTTAAACTTTTGAATAAATAAGCAAATAACTATCCGTTGTAACGGTGATTTTTTTTTTTTTTTTTTTTTTGATTAAACGCATTTACATCTATTTTCATCACGTTTGATTCATATTTTAATATGGTTGAAAGACGAAATAATGTTAAAGACTTTTAGTGTATTAAAATTTAAATTAAATGTATTAAAAATAGATGTAATTGTGTCTAAACACATTACAGTATTAAAGTAGCTCTCATGTATATTTATTTATATTTCTATTTGCATATATATTATTCCATATAGAAAGAGAGAGGGTGATGGAGAGGAATTACATGGTGACAAAATGTCCACTCAAAAAGGACAGTTCCATGTGAAGGGGTTCGACCCCACATCAAAAACCATTTCAAACTTAGAATCTCTTCCTAGCTCCCATTTCTTTCCCTTCCTTTTTCTGATTGAGCTCTAACCTCCAGGATACGACATCTACCTTTATGTTGTCCATAGGAGGTTTATAATGTATATAGTCTATGCATGTTGTACGCATAGGAAGAAAATCTATCAACCAACTAAACCCTAAATTCACCAAAACAAACACTGAGCTCGTTTTTGGTAACTTTTCCCTTTTCACAAAGGTGTTCATAGCAATTGACATAGTGAAGTGACGTGTCTCGATTCAGACCAAAATCCGATCTATTAACGGGTCTACATTAAGCCGTGAAAACACTCCAGTGATCAGAGAGAATTGTGTTTTACCACCATCTTGAAAGAGACTGGAGAGTAATCGGTGTGTTTGAAAATGACTGTTGGTACTAAAAAACTTCCAGCTAGTGGATTTGTACAACTCCAACTCTTTAACTTCTGACCAGAAAACATTTTCCCATTAAAATCAATTGCTGTGCCAGGTTACCAATGGTCCAAATCGCCAACAAATGGAACTCATTGGTGGTGCCGGACCGACGTGATGGTATTGAAATGAAACTCGTGACGAACGAGTGCTCGGAAGATATATGGAGGACATGTAAAATCACCCTCAGAACATCAACATCACAAAATTGCAAGAAAACAATAAACAATTGAAATGATCACATGCACTTGGTAACCAAGAAACTATCCAATCATTCCTCGAACACTCGAGTTATGACACACAAAAATTACCAGCAAGATTTACCTGAATGATTAAAAAACAACATTTATAGAATATGATGGCAGAACTTTGAATTATCAAGAACCATTATATAAAGGGCATAGTATATCTCATCATCATAACAGCAACAGGTCAACAAATGCTACGAGAAGAGGACGTAGTAAAAAATGAAATACTAATTGCACCTGCTAAGCATCGTTTTATTTTCTTCTTTTTTTGACATCAATTCCTTTTGTATGTGTATGCCAGTATTGCTCCTCTGGGAAAGGTTTCCTCTCTCCTTCAAAACAACATATCCGAAAGCTGCAACAAAATGTAGTCCGAATCCAAAATTGGGTACATTGTCATGCAACTTTGCCTCTGGTTATTTCCTAACCTCCATGAAGAAATCGATAAAATTTGCCTTCCAATAAAACCTCCAGGTTAGCATGTTAGTTTTGATTCCTATACACATCGAGGAGATGGCAGCAGCAGCTGTGTTCTTTTCAATCCTCCTCTTTGTCCTGTGGGTCCATTTGCTATACAATCCACAATGTGGCTATACCAACGTTTCATATTATATAACATGCCTATTGCTTATTCCCGTTTACATCAAGAGCAACATCACCCAGTTGAAATCTCCTCAAGTAGAGAACCAATATTACCCATAATCAACCCTCGGCTTCCTTCCTCTTCTTGTTTGTTTTCCTGCTAAACTTGGATTTTTCTGTTGCGTCTAAACCAGGCTGCGGACTCTGGTCTAGCCTGCTGCTAGGATCAAGTGGGTCTAAATTGGAAAAAACATTCTCATAATTGACGGCAGCATCCAGGGAGTATAAACGCAAAGCAAGGGAAGACAAGGTAGATATCTTGGCAGCAGCTGAGAGTGATGACCAGTACCACCACACATTCCTCAAGTACTCTGCCTTGATCATGTTCTCAAATATGATTATTGCTTGAACCATCTGAAATGAAAAGGAAAAGAGAATTTCATTTGTGGGACTCATTTATGGAGGAAAAAAACATTGACAGTCCTGGAGCTAATTCTGAAGGGGGAACATTATTTACATTTTATATTTAGATTGTACACATCGATTGCTAAAAAGAAAACGTAAAAAGAACAAAGACAAACAACAAATGAGAAATAAGAACAAAGGAACCATTAACACAGAACGATACAAGTAAGAATGATGCCTCTGTAAATTTCGTAATCATGGTTTAACTTCCACTATGCTTAGGGCCGTTTACAACCAATGACTAAAAGCTTAGGCCAATTGTGTAATTTAATTAATTTATATCACTGTCATGCAACCTCACATGCATGTATAATAATTATGAGAGGATACCAAGATTCAAGAAAGGTGCTTCAATTATTTAATTTCGCCATATTTATGTCGAGATGGAATGCTTAGGCCAATGTTTTATGAGAGCATTTTGGTATCACATTCTACAATCTCATTCCAATTTAAGGAGATATCTTTCTCCATCCCCAATGCACTTTGTTTACTGCTTTATAAAAAATACAACTTGTCCATGGTCTGCAAAGTATAATTTCCATTTCTAAGACAACTAAAGAAACTGGCAAAAAAAATAATAATAATTTCCCACACAGGATGGTGCCAGGAAGATGTAAAACGCTCCTGATTGACAGTAGCTCTATTAGGATCTACAATAGTAGGACATACTGGGTGGTCTTCACATAGAGTTTTCTTAAAAGCATTTTGAAAAATGGGTCTTACCACTATTGTATTTAGCCCATTTTATTATGATTAAAAATCTTAAAACCCAATATTTGAACCTACTTTTTGAAACAAAAGCAATCTATGAGAATCAGGTAAAGGAAATAGTGACAGCTACTTCCTTGATTAGCCTTGTGGATTTGAAGCATGTAACATTCCAAAACCAGGAAAGCTATGCTATAATTTGAGGAAAAAAAAAAAAAAAAAAAAAAAAAACAAAAAAACAAAACTATAGATTCTAGCAAAAGAAGAAACTAACCTCATATATGGTCTCTGCAGATTTAACAATTGCACGCCAGGCCCATCTCCTTTCTAAGTGCGCCTTTGATGGCCTCAGAGCTGCATCAGGAAGTGCAGCATCCATATCCAGTAAATTGATCTTGAGTTGCCTTAAAATTTGAGAAGGTTTGCCTATTAGTGGCCTTAATGAAGACTTGGGGACGATGCAGCAGTTGCTAACCCCTACTACTGGAGCACGACCACATGATGACATTCTATTATCTATCTGCTGTAAGCAACAAAATGCTGGTTTCTCGTTTTCCAATGCTTCACTGCATTCGTTTGCAGCATATGTTTTGGGAAAATTATCAGAAATATTACCATGGCCTTCATTCGTTGCCATATTGTTCCCCTGGATTGAGTTTAGATACTCATCAGCTTCAAGCTCATCATCTGCAACACATAAGTCTCTTTCAGGGGGAATTAGCATTAGTGTAGAATCACTGAGATAAGGAGATACAGTTGGAAGAAATGATGGAATCCCTTTAGAACCTATAAGACCTATTTCCTGCACCAATTCCTTGTTAGTACTTTTTATCACAAATTTGGAGCAGATATCTTCAAAGTCATACGGGCATACTAAACCATCATTTTGATATTTAATCAGGCTTGAACTGAACCCAGAACACCCACTTTTGGATGTTTCAACAGTATTTATTTCACCTATGCATTCCTCTGGTGCATTCTCAGATTTCATTTTGCCCTTCCCCTTTAAAACACTGTTTTCTTTGCTCTTCTCATAAACTGGTGCAACTGCATTGCACTTGGCATTATTATGCCCCTCAAGTTCATCATCAGTGAAGAAGGTTCTGTGGCAAGAGAAGCAATGACATCTAGAAGGCCAAACAGGTTCTAAGCATTCACACCTGAACATTTTATCTTCAGTTGCAAATTTTGCCTTTCGCCCCCTCTTCTTCACGAAGTCAATTGCATCTGGCTCAAAGCATGGACCATACTTAGTCTCCAGCAATCTGGCTGCCTTAGTAACAAGACGATTAGAAGAAATAAACTTTTCACTAGTTCTCGACTTTTCTGAATCTATTTGCAGCCCATTCTGATTTTCGGATCCAGAACGTGGAGTGTCTTGGAATTTTACTTTTTGCCAGTGCAAGATGGATTCTTTCAGTTCTCTTTCTTGTGGGTCATTGTCTTTCAAACACTCAACTAGTTCTTTGATCTCAGCATCAGATTGATAGAAAACCCAAGGAGAGAAACTGGAACTGGCATCATTGAACTCATGCGTAAAAGGACAGAAAGCTCCTGAACCCCTAGGAGTCAAACAAACACCCATGTCATGTGGAGCAGAATTTCTCATAACCGAGCAGTTCTCTGAGGTCCGAAGATGTGTCATTTTGTCTCCCTGCTGCTCCGCCATGCTCCCGCTGACAATCACCCAAGGATGTGTATCCAGCTTGGCTAAGACCCAGTACAATCTGCCAGCAGAGTCACTACCCAAAAACTCCCTCCTCAAAGAGAGCTTCAGAAGTTGCTTCTTTATACTGGTAATCGAGTCCTGCAGAATTGAGATCTCATTCATCACTGGAAGTAACTCAAGGCTGTTTGCATGTGAATCATTCATGACTGTAGGGGTCACATGCTCAATTGTATGGCTGCTCTCTGCTGTATCCAAGTGAAGACAATTTCCATGCAGATCTTCAGAAGAACCTAGAGTATCAACATCCATTGCCACATATTTTTGCATGTCACAGTGGGAACTGTTTTCTCTATTCAAGTCAGCAGTTTCTTGTTGAAGAAGATTTGACACAAGCAAGTGGCTGCCGCTTACCAATGGCTGGACATCTTGGGATTGATGTTCAACATCCATACAATCAGTAATTTGGCTGTTGACAGAACACTTTCTCAAAAAATTATTGGCAGATGGGTATTTATTAGAAACAACAGAACTGATCCCTTTTTTACCCCCCTTAAGTTGTGCAACATCCTCAGAAAAAGCATTACTAAAATCGGGCCCATCATTCAACACATGCTGCCATCGAGAACATTTACCATTGTTTGCAAGGGCAGCAGGCCCTTCTTTACCAACATTTCCAACTGCATTACTAAAATTTCTCTCTATAATCGCAACTTCTGCAGCTAAGATTTCTTCTTTCTGCTTTAAATTTTTCCACTCTACAAACAAAGAACGCAATTTCTGCTGCAAGTCAGCAGACTCTTTGGCACAGTGCTCAAGATGTTGATGAATAAGCGTAGTATTCAACAACTCATCACAAAGAATATTAAGCAAGAATATTCTCTGAAACCAGAAAAAAAGTGGAAGTCAATTAAAAGAAAGCAATGAAGGAAACAGAATATAAGAACCAATTCTTAAACCAAAAAAAACCTGAAAGGCTATATAGTCACTCAGTCATACATATTTCAAAGAGAGAGGTCAAAGGTTCAGTCCCTGTGGGGCAGAATTGCGTGTGTGAGTTACTTGCTGTGGGAGGGGGTGGGGAGAATTGGTCATATATATTTCAAAGTTCTGTTTTTCTTTTTCTTTTTTTGGTTTAACCATTATTGCCACCAGAAGCATGTTCACTGTGTTGCCAATGCCAAAATTTGGGTCTTGAACAAATCCCGTTCCACTGTACAATCTGCTGAAGACAGCAGTTAGAGCACACTGCATAAACTTATAAAAGGAACATGCTTAAGTAAATGTGTAAACTTTTGACAGATGATTCGATCTTTATCCAAAACCACTGATTTTTTTTTTTTGTTCTTTCCTCCTCTTATTTCTCTATTCATTTATTTTGAAAGGGAGAGGGGCCCGAGGGGATTCAAAGAATTTAGCAACAGTGCCTTTTTCCAAAGTATTTGGTATCGGTTGCATGAATCCTTTCTCATCATTCAGATCTATTAACACCACCATAACATCAACCAAACTACAAGTTAACCATCTTTCCTATCACAACTCATGCTAATTTTGGTCTTTCCCTTCCCTATTATTACTTTAGAACAACATCACTGTTCGTCAGTAATGCAGTTTTTGGTCTTCTCATAATACAATTGAAGTTTTTGTGTGTCAGTAACTCTGTTTGAGAATACCTTCATAAAATTGATGGAAACTTCTATAAAGTACAAATGCAATCAGATATCAATCAAAATTTAGCAAGACGAGTACAACAAGAAAAAATATGGCAAGAAAGGGACAACCAGACTAACCTCATCTACACTAAACTCCCAATACTCCCTTTCTTCCATTACAACAGCTAAATGTCTTAGTGCGTCCAAGTATAAACAGCTAACTTCTCCATGTTTTCTTTTTCGGTCTTCGCAAATGATTGATGTACATTCCGATGCATCTTGAACCATGTGCTTACCAGCCACACAAGATGGACAATACCAGTTTCCTTTTGGAATCCTTGCAAGTGGCGGATTCAAGCAATAAGTATGATACTCTGCATCACAAGTATCACACAATAGAACGCTGTCATCGTCTTTATCAATGCCACATATTTTACAAACCCCCTCTTCCCAAGGGGCTTTCGGAAGTTCACTTGCAGGTACAAGAAAATCATTGATTTCCTTCTTTGAGTCAGCACTTAAGCATTTTGATTTAGCAAACCCCACAAGTTTCTGGAATAGTCTGACAACCTGCAACAGAGAGAATATTTTAACCTCTCAAGAGAAGCACCAAAACCAATTCAGCAAGACTAAAGTGCAATGGGAAGAAAAGGAAGATGGAGCAAAAGATGATAGTGGCCCTGAAATTACAAAGAATCTACAGAAGTGGCCCTGAAATTACAAAGAATCTACAAACCTCCTCCTCATACAATGATTCGAAATTGTTCAGCAATGCCTCGGCCAACTGAACCATATCAGGGCGATCACAATGAGCAATACGAATATTGGTCCACAACTGCAAGTTTGGGGGGAACGGGGGAAGAAGCGTTAGCATGTTTTACCAGTCAAATTTTCAACATAATTTCTAGTAAGCTATACATTTTCAATATCAAAAGGCAAGTCATAAAAAATAATAACAAAAACCATGCAGTTGGTGCAAAATTTAAAATAAGCACGTAGGCATACCTACTATGCATTCATTTACTAAATACAGATTTCTGAGCGCAAAGCCGCAAATGTCAAACATTGGCACAGATTGGACAAATAGATAATAAAATTGATGGCAGAATTAACAATGCATTCCTTGTCATTAAGATGTTTGCTTGTGTAATTGTGGCTGCTCGGGAACATCAACAACTACATCTTTGACACACAGTACAGTGAAGAAAATCCAAGCAATTTTAAAAATACCACGCCACTTTGGAACTTTTTAATAATTAAATTGTTCTTTTAAAGATCTAGGAGTTCATTAGTTGCACAAAATTCTAAGAACACCAGTGAATTGGTTCAAAATTAACCTTAGAATCCGGAAGGCTCAGAAAACATAATGAACATAAATCAACAAAACATAAACATAAAATCAATCATATTGCTTCATATCCTAATATAAGTGAGAAAAATCTAGCTAAATTAGCCAATCATGTAATTAAATCTTAAAAGCTTGACAAATTTATATTTACAAAGAAAGAAAAGCTATAGTTTAAAACAGACAGTTCAATCTAAATCTAAAGACAGATTTGTGGTTTTTGTCAGTCACCATCATTGAACCAGGATCACAGTCAACAAGATATATAGGTCACAGCCATTACCCAGTTTTGGTCGACAAACTGGACTCAAACCTAATGTTTATTTAACACAAAATGGCTGCTCTCAAACTGAAATCAAGCTCTCACGTTTACAATCCATGCTTGGACCATTTCATTGAGCAATGTCCATAAGAGATTATCATCCAACTTCATGTTACAAGTCTATGAATTGTTCCTGTTGAAGGACTTAAATATTGAAGTTCCACCCTCTCAAACAGCTTAATCTTTTAGAGTATATGGTGGTTAACATGGTATTAGAGTCAAACCCAGTCCTTGATCCAGTGTCACATCAAATGCCCACCTGAGAGGTGTCCAGGGTCGGTCGTTAGAGGTTCTTGTCCCATATCAGATCCGGATGGGAAAGGTCATGAGCTTATATGGGTGGATATGCGGCATTACCCAATGGCTTAAGTTTTTGGGTCAGACGGCCCGGCCTGATAAAAGTGGTATTAGAGCAGGCAAGGTCCCGTGTTCAAACCTTACCATCACCCTGATAATTAAAATTGAAAGACATGTTGGACCAAAAGAAGGCCACATGTGAGGGGGCGTGTTGAAGGACTTAAATATTAAAATTACACCCTCTCTAACCGCTTGAGCTTTTAGAGTATCAAACCTCCCACACATCTATTTCCTAATGAGAATCAAACTATCCATCTTCTCATCTGAAAAATGCAGCAACCGTCCGAGTTTTTTGTAGACAATCCATGACCAATATTTGTTACCATTGAATAATTGTATCATGCATAGAATAAGTGTGAAATGTATTAACCTCCATGCAGAATTTCATGCAAGAAAATTATGGAAAATCAGCAGTGTCACTCGTAGAAAACCTTTCCAGGTCAAAATGAATGGAAAACAATGAAGTCATAGAATAAAGTTGCCCAATCAAAATCAAATTCTAAAGGAAACAGACCTCTCGAACATCCTCAAGAAAGGCTTCATGTGATCCGTCATAGGCTCCAGCAGCCAATCTCAAATCAATAGTCCTAAAATCCAGAGGGCGTGAGACCATAGCTGGAGATCCAAGAATTCCCTCATCATCATTATCGTTATTGCTTATCAGTTTTTTTCCCAGCAAGTTGCAGAAGACTTTTGCATCATCAGCAGCAGCTGCACGACGTAGTACAATACGACATTGTTTCATAATTATATCAGATATAGAAATATGAATCGTTCTCTTTCTTTCCCTATCAGGTTTCTGCCGCACACCTTCACCATAAACATCTGCTAGCACTGAAATTATAGCTTTCTGGTGCCAAACAACAAAAAAGAGCACTCAGTCTGTAGTTAGGGCCAAGTTAAGGAGCGTTATTAACTCAAAACATACACTTGACCACCGCATTGGCACATTGTATATGAAAAAAAAAAAAAAAAGTCTAAAAGAGTTCATTTTGACAGCCCAGTTGTAATACAACTGGATAAATTATCATTTATAAAACAGAGTCGATATAACTTTTAAGCTAAAACACTAAATAAAACAAATAAAACAGAAAATAAATAAATAAATTTAAAAAAAATACAGAAAAGAAATAATAATCTTTGTTTGAGATGACACAGTTTATTTTCCTTTAGATCAACATAACCATACTTGATGACAAAAAGAGTAAAGACAGAAAGGCTAAGGAGAGATATATGGTAAGGCAAAAGTAGAAAGCTAATCCAGCAACTCACAACCACACAAATTTTTACTAATATCAACTTGGAAGTCTTGTGTAGTAGCACACGCACCAATTATACTAAGCTTAAATAGAATAAACCTCAACTTTCAAGTTCCTAGAAAAATGATATGGAAACATAATGATGAGAGAAAGTTTGGGCAAAGACATCATATTTTGGTTAATATCTAAATGTTGCATTCTTTTTTATTTTTGGATAAGTAAATTGTATCCAAAGACGTGAATTGTCATGAGTGAGAAAATGGGTGGAATCCAGAGAGCAACAACCACCAAAATTATGAGACATTACAAAAATAATTTCTTGCAAAATACTAACAACAGTCCAAATCACCATTCAATTGAAATCAAGAGCTATCAATAGCAATGGCCTGTTTAGTAGCTGTAAACACGAGATTATTGAGTAGGGAAGAGGAAAAATGCAATGCAAGAACAAGACAACAGTATGCATGCATGGACAAGTTCAAACAGCTCTACACTCTAAAAGTTGCACAAAATAAATATAATGTATATATGATATGAAAAGGATGGGACCTTCACCTTTAACACAATGAAGAAATTCTATTCCAGAGAAGGTATTAGCAAACAGGTCATTTCATTGTACTACAATGGAGACAACAAATTTTATTTCTCTTTTTCCATTTAAACATAAATTTTTTAATGTCGCATGGGGAACAACTAAGCATTTCTTCATATTATACGATAATTAGCATGAGCATGATCTAGTATATTGCCCTCTGAAATCACCTAACAAAAGAAAAAATCAATTCGATGTTAAAACATGTAAGAGTGTACAATGAATTCTGTGAAGACTGTAGCAACTAGCGAAATCAGAAGAACAATAAATCAGTCAGCACATGTGCAAATTTAAAATCCTTTGCTCCCAACAAAAATAAACAATACACTTCCAGTAATTGTAATCCCAAGGAGTTTAACCTGACACCAATGAAAGACGGGAATTACTTGGAAATATCACCTTTGTAGGTCCAGATGCATTTCCTTTATATACTTCCTTACTGATTGAATGCTCCAATATTTTCTTCGCCCATTCTGGAGGGCCTTTCTCCAAAGCATCATAGACACATTTTCTGATTCTAGCTCCCACATTTGTGGGCAACTTTTTAACAGGTTCCAGCAACTGTGCCCACTCCGGAATATTATCATCAGTCATCTTGGACCTTTCACAAGCACCAGCTCCATCAGATCCTCCATCATCAAAGGTCAGAATATCTTTATCTCTGTTCAAAGAACCAAAAATTTTCTTGGTAGCTTCTGCAAGCAACTGAATGCAATACAAGTCAGTCAGTGCATTATGATACATACCCTTTTTCTCTTTTTTTGTTTTTATTTTTAATCTTCTCTTTTTTTCCTATTAAAATCCAGCAACACCAAATCAAAGTTTTAGCTACAAGTACAACTACTGGGAAGAAAAAAAAAAAAAAAGGAAGAAGCTGTTTATAGAGCATAAATATCATCCAAAAATTAATAACATAAGAAGATTTAAATGGGAAGAGCAACCAGCATCCATATTTTTGTAGCAGGAAAAGAACATTCATTGCTCCTTATAAGAGAACAAGATTACCATAGTGGGAAATCAGAATTATGTACCAATATTTTAAATTTATATTTTTGACACAATTGAAAGCTAACGCAAAACAAACCAAAGAAAAAAAAAAAAAAAAAAAAAAACACAGAGCTAAATAAGAAAATGTAAAACAACAGCGCTAAAATTATAAATTTCATCACCAACTAAATGCACCTATATCAACTGTAGCATTGTATCTTTTACGGCTATATGATAAACTGAAAACTTGAAACTGCAAATTTTAGTATTAAATCAGTAGCACTGAGACAATATCTAAAGGTAAATATGAAAATTCAAGTATATTTTATTAAACTTGTTCACTGATAAGTTAAAAGTTAGTTCTCTATGACCAAAAGCTCAAAGACAATTACAGTTATTCTCTAATTGGTAAATAATTATGAGTAATGCATCTTCAATAGGGTCATTGAACAGCCTTCCTGACATCATCACAACTAATGAGCATTATCATCTTGAAAATCTTTTAAACCTGCTCTCAACTAACAATTCAATCCAATAATGTGTATTAACATGTATGAGTAGTACACTTTTTAACCCGTAGAGATAAATCTAGAAACCTGACATTTTTCATTTCCTACAACGTATTCCAAGTCATAGCATCAAAACACAAAATCAAAAGTTAACAAGGGCATCCTCTGAGTGACAAGGAATGTTTAAGGCCATGAAAACAGCATGTCTAACCAATCCTTCTTCCAACAATGCTAAGGAATTATATAGCTACAAGGTCCAAACATCTGTAAAGGTTAGACTATATAAATACTGAATAAAGGACTTAGATGCAATCTTACCACTGCATCCGCTTCCATTCCCACCACTCCAGTAAGTGAACCACAGAGCACTCCACCATCACCTTGCAAGCAATGAAAAACTTTACTGCTCTCACTGATAGTTAGCTCTGCAGAGTCGAAGTTACCATCCATGGATAAGATAGCTAAAACATATCTCCGAGCCAATTCTGGCCAAGTCAATTCATTAATAGGAAGCACATTGACCTTGGTTCTTTTTGCGGCAGTTGAGCAGTCTATATCCTTCTTCTTTCCTCGTTTTGATTTTGGCTCCCCAGTATCAAAATTTGGATCTACAATTGCAGCCACTTTGGACAGCAGTTCACTTATTAGCACTTTCAACAGTGAGCAGTGAGCCTTCGTCAATGTGAAACCTGTGCACTTGCTAAAACTAACTGATGTCATTCTAGCTTGGGCCGCTTCCTTCATAACTCCCGTTTTAATTTGTATGAATTCATGTGGACCTTCAACAGGAACTGCTGAACCAGATTCATTTCTCGGTGATATGATGTGCCCACCTGTACCATTAGTTCTACAAAAAATGTCTTGATTATTGTGGAATTCCCCTCCTAATTTCTCTTGAAGACATGAGCCATCAGACCATGGGCTAATAAGTTCCTTTTCAAGTTCTTCAAATGACAAAGGCTCTCTTAAACCCAAAAATTCAAAGAAGCGCAGCAGCAACTCCCATACCTGGATTGAAGAAGGATGAGAGCTCATAAATTAGCATTTAGATTTCCTTACTTGATCAGTACAACTATGTTATTTAACTCAACAGAGTCATAAGCAGTATGCACATACCTGAAGAACATCACCAACAAGCTGACAAGGAAGCCTTGAGCTAATAGGCTTTCCAGGAGGAAGGCAATGTTTTTTCATTACAGGGTCTTCAACCACCTGCATACTGTTCTGTTTGGAGCCTCTAAACAAACCATCTAATGCTTCTTCATCAGAAGCTTGTACTCCACCCTTTGTATTTGCCAGTAGAAGCCCATTTCCAACCGTTACAGATGAAGAACTGTTACTTCTTTCCTTCAGAAGTACATATTGTGAGCAGGCAAGAATACCAGGAAGCCTTTCTACAAATTGTTGCACAAATTCCACATCTAATCCAAATCTATCCTGGTCCAGCCATTTCACCAGAGCTTCAAACACAGTTTCAAGCTTTTTATTATCCTGAATAACAGATGGGATGGTGAAGGAGCAGAATGAACAGCATAATTTGGCCAATGAAGCAAATTTTTCCTCATTACTTCCATCAGAAACCCAGTGAGCTGAGCATGTTCTATTTTCAACGTGCTTGCAAAAGAACTTTAGAGTACCTCTCTTAACATAGAATTCACGGCACATTTCGATGAATTTTTTAGACATCATTCTCCACGCTGAAGATGAGGAAGACTCTTCAACCGAAAAGTCGCCAACGTCGTCACTCAAATCTAAATTATCAGATAAAAGGTTTCCAAATCTTTCACAATGGGTACCGGTTTCAAGCTGCAAGCGGTTTGATGTCTGCACATTAGATTCATCATAACTGCCAAGGCATGACAAAATATCATGTTCCAAAGGCGGGGAAGGGTCTGAGAGGATCATCTGAACAATGCAATCCTCATCATAATCTACATTGACAGAAGTAATCTCATCATTTTCTTCTTTGTTTTGACAACAATTTGACCTATAGAGAACAGTTGAAGCATCAGGAATGGACAATGCAGAGCACGAGCACCTTCTGACCTTGAAAATGGGTCCAGAATTTCCACCATCTGACACATCACACATAAAAAGAGATCCAGTGATCTTATCATGCCAGCAGGATCTATAGCCAATAGGCCAGATCTGGTTGAAAGTATGATAAGATAATCTAGTGTCAATTTTCCCCAAAGAAAGAACAAATAAATCTTCATACTGAACTGGAAGTCCATCCTGAAAAGAATAATGTGCACAAAAGGTAAGCATGAAGAGAAAGCTGCAGAACGTACACCACTTGTAATATGTACATAGAATGAAAAGCTCAAATACTGAAGAAAAAAATATGAAAATAGGTCCACTAACATTTGCACTTACATTAAGTTGTTGAGGCCCAATGCTACTGTTCTCTTCTGTCGTAATTTCCATGACTTCTACATTATTTCCATGTTCGCTGGCCTGATCCATAGTATGGAAGTCAAATGGAGGAACTTCACGTGATCCACTTAGTGAAGTCCCATTATTTTTAGTGACACCATTTGCCATTGTTAGTCCAGCAGACTTCTGTATTTTGGGTAAATGCAGCCTTCTCTGCAGTGAAGCAGGGTCATCACTTCTTACTTCGGGTTCTACAGAGTTTCTATTAGATGTCAACCCAAGATAACAGGCAACTGCGGGCAATGACTCAAATATTTTCCCATTTGGAGCACAGTAAACAGCATGTAGTTCACCACTGTTTATTGATGTTCTAAATTCCACATGCCAACCTTCTTCTAGTACACCATTCCTTTGAAAAACGAACTCGCCAAGAGCCTGTAAATACATCTTGCTCAGGTGTTGAGGTGGCAACTTAATATTTCTATGATTATTACTCCTAAACCTTCCTAAAAGGGAGTGCATATCCACCTCCTCAGAACTTCTACCCTCAGTCAACGAGTGTTGTAATATATCTTCAAAACTCAATTTGGCAGTATGTGTCTCGATACCAGATTCTTTTTGCAAACCAAATTCATTTCCCGCATACAAGTTTGAATATGCCACTGGGGCACCAAATGGATTGCCACCAAAAGAATTATCATCTGGAGTGTGCTTTCTAAAAACCACAATAAATATAACCAGTAACTATATAAAAGCATACATATCAGGAATTTTTTTAAAAAATATAAATTAACCAATAAGAGAAACAAGACAGAGGAAAAACAGAACTAAAAAGAAAAAGAAATGGTAAGAGAAACTCAAATATGAGAAATCAGATAACACGACAGATTACCACCAGACCATTTGCCTAGGTGATAGAAGCTCTCCTCCCCTCTGGGGAAGTCAAGGGTTCAAGCCCCAAGCAAATTTTTGTGTGTGTGTGAGTTGTTTGCCGAGAGAGAGAGAGAGAGCAGAGCAGCTTCTCTCAATCTAGTTAAGATTCAGAGAAAACCACCTCTTAAACCCTACCTACTGCAATATCTCATCTTATATATGTATAACAACAGCCCAACAACTGATCCAATTGCAGATTATTTCCAGAATTGCTACCAGCAGTTCAAGGAAGGATCAACCGATAGACAACATCATGACCATCACCCCACATATCCAGATTAATTAAATGCACAGACACTTTTAACAAAAATAAATAAATAAAAATAGAACTTTTACAAATCAGTTCAAGGACCAACCAAAATCCTGCTTCAAATTCTGACCTACTTGTCAAGAAAGTAGAACTTTATACTCCTTCTTACATTAAAATTCAAAAGTGGATTGTGATTTGTGTGTCTTGCCAAGGAGTAATAGTATGCATTATATGATGTAGGCCCAAGAAGATCAGTCTTGGGTGAGAGATCTAAGGTGATCCTGGAGATGGAGAGAGAGAGAGAGCAGCGATGGACTGAGAAACACAAGGATCAGATTCCAATGTACTAACACAGAAAACGAGTCAGTGTATCCCGTACTTATGGGAGTCTGATTGTACACAAAGGGTGAAGACAATACCTAGTGAAATGGTGCCAGTTGGCAAGCCAGATCCTGCCACCTATAAGGAGTGACATTGGCAAGGTAGGAACACAAATACAAGACATGTCCTCGAATATGGAAAATGTTTTGTCTCAAAGAGTATTTGCCATCTCTGTCTCAAAGACTGGTCCAATGCAGCTCATGATATCGGACATCAAAAGGGTGGGGCAACCACCCTATTAGGAACCCCAAGGATCCTAATAGGACCACAACTCAATCTGAAAATTAGGTGGCAATTTGTGCTTCTTAGTCATATTCATATCGTGTCATGATATGGGTATTCTACTATAGGGGTGATGGGTCAACACGAACATGACGTGATTATCGTCCTACTTATTTAATAAATGGGTCAATCCCTAGCACGACAAGACCTGTTTAATTAAATTTACAAGCTTTTAGGGTCATTTCAAAGACATCCCTTTTTTCAGTAAAATGGAAGATCCTCAACTGTTTTACTAAAAATTGAATGAAATGATATTGTTTTGTTTTAGATGACCATGACGCGTTTACCCTACATGTTTTATTAAGTCTGTCTAATCTGGCTATCAAATGATTGGTGGGTTGTTATCTCATCAAATTGTAATCCCATACCCACACCCAATTGAAGGGCTGGGCATGTTATCTAGATTTTGGGTCAAAATGACATCCCTATTACCAAGGCAATTGATCATGTTCTCTTCGCATTCTTTTGCACCCATCAACAGCAAAGACCCAAAGAGTTGCCTTCACTTTCAGCATTCCTAAATAGATCAACACCCATGTTAAAAAGCGGGAGTAGTCACATTGTCTTCTCAATACCATCTACCTATCAAAGAAAGATATCCTCCTTTTTTCTGTAATTAAGCTAAAGAAAGATATCATTATTGCTAATGCAGTATTGGTTTTGTATGCACAACTAGAAAAGCAGTTTGAATTCTGAACAACTCTCCACATAAGCATTTGATTTGGCAATAATTGCAATCAAAATATATTACATTGATATGCGTATTAACATGTGTAACTAAATTATTTTTTCAGTATATCGATTGAAGTAAATAATTGAATTCAAGAATTTTTTTTTTTTTTACAAGTAAATAATTGAATTCAAGAATTAAATCAAAGCGTGAAACTCATACCTCAAACCCGGCAGTTCCTCAGTCCCCTCGTCTTCACCATCATTTGGAGGTGAAGCATTAATGTTCATAATCCGACGCTTTTTCGATCCCAAAGGCCACCGACTACTCGACACTCCACTGCTCACACACTCTCCACACAACCACTCGTCCAACGCCACCGCCTCTCGTCCCACCAATCCGGAGCAACCGAGGTGGAACCCGCGCTCGCATCCGTCGCAGACCACCGTTTTTCCCACAACCTCTGGCCGGCCACACGCACCGCATGACGAACCGTGAGAGTCCCCGGGAATCTCGGCCGGAGCTCCAGCGGGCGGCGTCGGGTGGTCGTGGTAGGCCCGGACGAAGTCGAAGGCGGCGTCAGAAGGTAGGGTTTCGGATGAGGAAGACGAAGGGATTTCATTGAGATCGATGGCGAGACTGGAACGAGTTGGTTGTTCTGGTTTGGAATCAGCGAGTTCCATTATCCGAGTATAGATTTCGAGTCCGAGCTAGGTACATAACTAACTGATTGTGAAGGTTCGATCTCCTGGAAGATGAGAAATGTGGAGGCGACCATGTATCGAAAGCTTCAAATTCTGGAAAAAGATTTGTGTGTGTATGTCGTTTCGTTTCGAACAACCGACTCACGAGGAGAGAGAATAACAGCCAAAAGCGAGCAAAGCTGACGACGTAGAGGTAGGAATGGCTACGGGTTGGGAAACCGGGTTACCTGACCCATCACACCATATAATTGGTTTGTAATTTTATTAGAGAATTATATTCTCAAGTAATTTTATTTTAAACTAATTCAAAATTATTTGTTTAAAAAATATATATATATTGGAAAATGATTTTTGCACCGCTAAACTTATTTTTTTAATTGGCCAATCATGCAACAAATAAGGTAATTGTATTTGGTATAAATAGTCAATAAAAATTAGGGAAGGCTATTTTTTTTTTTTTGCCGTGCTATACTCTCTTTTCTTTTTCTTTTTGGAAGTCCTCTCAAAGAACATAATTTATTCTATACTGATAAATTGATTTTTGGCGGTCAAAAGAGATACTAATCTCAATCAAAACAAATAATTTATTCAACAAAATTGATAAGAAGATTATTCAATTCATTAATGCATTATGTCTTATTTTATAATGCCATAAATACCCTTGATATAACTTTAAATTTATTTTTACCTTCTTTAGATCCATGTGCTATACTTTCTTTTCGTAGGTCTTCTCAAAGAAGATAATTTATTCTATACTGATAATTTTATATTTGGCAGTCAAAAGAGATAATTTATTATGACTTTTTTTGTGCAATCAAAACAAATAATTTATTCAATAAAGTTGACTTTTTTTTTCACTCCTGTCAAAAGTGGTATTATTTTTTATTTTTTATGGTCCCATCAAAAGAAATATATATATATATATATTGAATAAATTGTTTCTTTTAACCGGACCAAAAATTTTAAAAGTAACCATTAATTATCTCTTTTGACAGGAAAAAAAAAAAGTTATATATATATTTTGTCCTAGAAACAAAATATTATTCAATATATTTTTTTTATCTTGCCAAAAATATCTAAAATATTAAAGATTAGATATAAGGAGATAAAATTTGAAAGGAAATTTGTGTCATTTAAAAAGTAATAATTATTTATTTGTAAAGTTAAGGTTATAATTGTCATTTCATTTAAGATTTTAGTGTAATCGTAAAAAAAATAAAGTTTGCAATTGTTCAGTATTAGTATTATTACTACTCATATATACTTAAAGATTGCATTAAATTTAATAATATAAGTAATTCGAATTATTCCGACTTTTTATTTATAAATCTCAGTTTGAATTGAAAATCCAAGTTCCATGGATTAGGCTTGAATTGTGCTCATGAAATGCTAAAATCAGGTTCTGTCGCTTGTGTATGATCTATGCTTAGTAATTAATATAAAAATTCTACATTGTAAATGTGATTATGTTGACATTGTAATCATTAGATAAAGAAAGCTTCTATTTGTCTCTTACAGACACATTTACACTTTAGTTACAACTTTATCGGATTGAATGTGTGTTTATTTATTATGACTTTTTTTGTGCAATCAAAACAAATAATTTATTCAATAAAGTTGATTTTTTTTTTTTTCACTCCTGTCAAAAGTGGTATTATTTTTTATTTTTTATGGTCCCATCAAAAGAAATATATATATATATTGAATAAATTGTTTCTTTTGACGGGACCAAAAATTTAAAAAGTAACCATTAATTATCTCTTTTGACAGGAAAAAAAAAAGTTATATATATATATATTTTGTCCTAGAAACAAAATATTATTCAATATATTTTTTTTATCTTGCCAAAAGATATCTAAAATATTAAAGATTAGATATAAGGAGATAAAATTTGAAAGGAAATTTGTGTCATTTAAAAAGTAATAATTATTTATTTGTAAAGTTAAGGTTATAATTGTCATTTCATTTTAGATTTTAGTGTGACCGTAAAAAAAATAAAGTTTGCAATTGTTCGATATTAGTATTATTACTACTCATATATATTTAAAGATTGCATTAAATTTAATAATATAAGTAATTCGAATTATTCCGACTTTTTATTTATAAATCTCAGTTTGAATTGAAAATCCAAGTTCCATGGATTAGGCTTGAATTGTGCTCATGAAATGCTAAAATCAGGTTCTGTCGCTTGTGTATGATCTATGCTTAGTAATTAATATAAAAATTCTACATTGTAAATGTGATTATGTTGACAATGTAATCATTAGATAAAGAAAGCTTCTATTTGTCTCTTACAGACACATTTACACTTTAGTTATTTTTATCAGTTAAAAAAAAAAAATTAAGCTAGACGTTATTAAAAGAATGTGTGTTTATTTTATCATTTAAAAACAAAAAATGAAACAAAAAATGAGCTTCAATGGCTTTATCGGATTAAATAAATTGTGTGTAAATTTATATTTTTCAAACACCAAAAAATTGCTTCTTTCTTCCACAGTGATTTCGATCTCGTATTAGTTCTATATTACTCCTTAATTAATATAATTATTATCTCATTTAGAAGTAGAAAAAGGGCTATAATTAGATAGAATATTCAAAATATACAAGTACACAAATAATCAGTGAGGTACAAGTCTCATTGCATGTAACTCATTGATAAGTTCATTCAACTCCTTCCATGAAGACCCACCTTCCTCCATAGCTCTCTTCGCCGCGTGACCCACCTCCACCACCTTCTTCCTCACCATCTTCCCCTTCTCACCCTCCATCAACTCCTTCACCATCTTCTCCAACCCTTCCCACTTCACAAACCCTCTCACCGACCCATCACAAGTCTCCACCCTCACTCCCACCTTTATCTCCTCCACCACCATCCTCGCATTCAGGTGCTGCTCCGCCATCATCGGCCACGTCAGTATCGGCACCTTCGCGCATATACTCTCCACCACCGAGTTCCACCCGCAGTGACTCAGAAACCCCTTCACACTCTCATGCCCAAGTATCTCCCTCTGATCAACCCATTCTCTCACTATTAATCCTCTCTCTCTAACTCTCTCTTCAAACCCATTTCCTAGTTCTTCCTCTTTTTTCTTCATAACCCACAAAAAATTCACCATTGATTTCTCTAAACCAACTTCAATTTCATGTAATTGTGCTTCTGATATCTCTGCTTGAGAGCCAAACGCCACGTAAAGAACAGAGCTCCCCTGTTCTTGCTTTCTGTCTAGCCAATCAATCCATTTGGGCTTTGGTTCTGATTTGCGCTTGAGTTCTTGGGCCAAACAGAGAGGCCCAATACACAGGAGTTTGGGCTGCCAGTGAGAATTCCCGTAGTCCACGAATTGTGGCTCCAGATCGTAGAAGCTATTTACTAAAAGCCCATAACTCTCCGTTGTTGATTTAGCTTGCTCCATTATAAACCCGAACTTTGGGCCATTGGGATCTGGGTCAGATAACGGTGGCTCGAAGTCGTTTCTTGTGAGTTGGATCCAAGGAAAGCTAGTGACTGTGAATGGCTCGTCGTCTGAATTGAGCTTTGAAAGAAGCCGATTTTGGGCCACGTCGGCGGATATGGTAATGGCATAGTTGTTCATTCCGTAATAGACCAGTCTTGGGATGCCCAATTTGGAGGCGGAGTCCACGGTCCAGCCCAAGAACCCGTCCGAGACGAGGAAGGTGATGTTTGGGAGGGAGTTCAAGGCTTGTTCGAAGTGGGGTTGCATGAGCTTGGTGGCGTTGGCGAAGCGGACGAAGAGGGACATGGAGGGGAGTTTGTCAGTGCTCTCGATGCCGGAGGGGATGTCGGGGAGGTTGTCCGGGAAGGGGAGGGGGAGGACGGAGGCGCTGGTGTCGGAGAGGAAGGCGGAGATGAAGGGGAGGTTGGCGGGGGTGGTGATGATGGTGACGGTGATGCGGCGGTGGAGGAGGAGCCGGGCTAGGTGGAGGATTGGGATTGTGTGGCCTTTTGACATGAACGGAAAGAGAACCACATGGATGTTATTAGATAATCTCCAAGGATCAACAGAAGCCATCTCTCTTTTGTAAGGAGTAATTTGCTAGCGCATGTTTTTTGTACTAGTTGTTAGTGCAGTGGGATCCACTGGCATTTTGGTAATTTTATTTTTTACTGCCTAAAATAAAATAACAAAAAGTGCTATTATTCCAGTTTGGCCCACGAAGTACTAATAAATTAAGGACCACTGAGAAATTGTTAGCGTTCAAAGAAAGTCAACAAGATTCTTCATGATGAGTTATTGTATTAATTATATACTAAAAAGAACAAAAGATGAAACAGAATAAATACTCGAATTTAACAAGAATAAACACGAAAAATTATGTAAATTAATATGAAGAAAAATTAGGTAAATTAATACATTTCTCTTGTAACTTTGACGTTATTTAGACTATGAAATGATGCCTTCTCATAAAAAAAATTGATGCCAACCAAATACATACTAAAAAATTAAATTTTCTTTTATTGGCTTGAGCTTCTTTCGATTCTACATTTACTTTCCACTAATAATATTTCCATTTAACTAAATGAATCCTTAGAATATCTCTACCCAAATTTTCAATTCTAAAGTAGCGCATTGAAGAATAGTTTTGACATACAAGTTTCCTCCGACCAAATAGTCAAATGCCTTATAGAATCATGTATGTCAAATTTGACCTACATACAACTTTTGATACACCAAATGAATTGTCCCTATTATTTTAATATATAGGTTCCACATATTACAAAAACTTGTCATTTAATTAAAAGACAGAATATTAATAAATTTGACATATCATGTACAGTTATTTTATGTATAGATATGCCAAAATTACACATCACAATATGTCACATCATCTCTCAAAAGAATTTGACATCTGAAAATTGAAGATCAAGTGAAGATGGTCTCAGTAAGTATTGATTCTGATGATTTTGTTTATTTTATTTTATTTTTTAGTCTGACAAGAAAAAAAAGAAAGGAGGAGGAACAAGATAATCAACTTCAATGGCTTGGAGAAGCCATTTGGATCATGTATTTGAGAGCAGTTGAAATATCTTAGTGCAGTTAGATAAATCGAGGTGTAAAATTTTACATTTGTGTTTTTTTTTTTTTTTTACCCTATGAATGTCGAGGAAATACCATGTTTATGCACAGTTTGGGTCGTTGGGCTCTTCATAGGCCTGTGTGGCCCAATTGGTTGTTCAATCCCTCGATGCTGACATTACTGTTTTTAAGGGCTCCTCAGGAGATCAAAAAAATTATGATATATGTATAGATTTCTTATCCCCGCCATAAATAAAAAGAGTGATGAGTCCTAATTGTCCACAGCAGAAGTGAAGAAGGTTGGCTCACCGACACTCATACCATGTGATTCTTGTTGCAAAGAAGACAAATTATTTCAATTTAATATCCTAAAACTTTTAATAGACTTGTCATGGCATGTACATTGTCATCGCTATCCAGTAGTAGCCAACACATCATTGATACCGTGAGCTCCAGTTTGGTTGGAGAGAAAATGAAAAGAAAAGAAAGACAATCAAGAGGAATGGTATATTGTGTTTGGTAAAAAAATTTGGAAAGAAAAAAAAAAAGGAAATAGATGGATTTGATGGGATATAAAATTATGCACGATGGGTAAGTTTGCTTAAATGGAAGGAGAGAGTTACAAAATTTAACGAAAATCTTTTAATTCCATATTTGTCAAATTACATGCAAAATATTTATACTATTCTCATCATATACACGTGACACAATATTATCATGATACATTATTTTTACTATTATCAATTAAAAACAAATAAAAAGAAATGGAACTTATGTGGCCCATTTCATCTTTGGATGGTATAATTTATTATTATTATTTTTTTATTGATTGTGATGTGTCATAACAAAATTGTGTCAGGTATATGATGAGATGGTGCAAGTCTGTGAAGACGTAAGTATTGCTCTATTTTTATTCTTTTAATCATTTATTTGTGCCCATATAGTTACTTGTGGTGTCACCAATGAGTATTTGGTGTAGGTCATCACAGGTGAGGATCAAAACCATCCTCACCGTTAATGTTGACTATTAATAAATGTACACATCTTCTTTTATTACTAAATTAAGAGCATCTGCCATCGTTTTTTTTATATATATATATATATTGTAAATATGATGTGTCTAATAGATTTATACAAAATAAATATATAAATAATAAATATTGGATTATTTAATTTTAGTTCAAACGGTTGTTTTATATCATCAAAATATATCCATCAATAACAACCAATCATTCATGTGTCATGCTAGGACCCACATAATTTTTACAAATTACTTAATATAGAAATTAATTCTTTAATGGAATGAGAAGGAGGGAGTAGAAAGGAAATATATTGATGTGACTGTGTAAAAAGATTATTTAAAATACACAACAATTTTACATATCAATGTATCTTAACAGACTGATAGAGATAAAAAAAAAAAATTAAAAAAAAAATAAAAAAAAATAAATTACACATCATATATATTTTATACAAAAGATATTTTAAGAGATTGCTGAAAATACTCTAAAGATGGTATATGTACCCCATCATCTCTAATTTGATAATTGAATATGTACCCATTTGCTAATTAAAGAGGACGTATCAATTTATTATGGATAATACTTAAATCCTCATTAGTACAACATATTAATTATTGATGTGGACCAATAATAAATGGATATGTTATCTTTAATTACTAAATAAAAAATAGCGGGTACTCACGTATCAAATCAGAATATCTAATTTGGTAATTAAAATAGGATATGTATATTTATTATTGGTCCACCTCAGTTGTAGATGATCTAAGTATTGTCCATTTATTATTGGTTCACGTACATTTTTACTAGTGAGGACCTAAATAAAGATATGAATACATCAAAAAAATAAAAATAAATAAAATATATTACGTAGTATTATATATAAATAATAATAATTTTTAATCATTTTATTTATTTGGAGCTTAAACTTAAAGCTAGATGATTGTTATTTTATTTTATTTTATTTTTTTTAATAAAAAATTTATATTATGTTTCTAAATAACACATACTATATTTGAAATTGCATTGAATCTCATCTTTTTTTAAAAATTCAAAACAATCGTATTTTGGAAGTATCAAAACTGTGTCCTTGTCGTGTGTCTCAGACAAGTACATAAAAAAATATAAAATATTTAAATTTCAGATCACTTCGAATTCCACGTGTTCAACCACCCCTAATTAAGTGTCCTAGCTTTACTATACTGTATTTACTTGTCAAAAAATATAGTATATATTAGTCTTTTAAGTGTGAATGGATTTAGTGCTAAAGTCATTAAAATATATATATTTTTTCTTTCCCTAAACATTTTAAAGTATTAAATTCTTTTGTTTCACTTATTAATCGAGAATAACACCATCATTTTCCTTAACGCTATCCTTTCTTTACCATGCTGTTGTACCAAACGCGGCCCAGCTGATAAGGAGGAGAAAGGATGTTTGATCATTTGATGATCACATACACATATTGACGGCTAGGATCATATAGACCCACAAAAGCTATAATGCAGTTGATTGTATTGTAGTTTATACCCTCCTAATCAATGAAGTAATTTACTAATCCCTTTCAAATGACAAAGCATCAACTCAGAATTGCTTTTCCTCATGTTGGAGCGTCAGTTCAAAATCTGAAGTCTCAACTTTAAAACCGGTAAACAGTAAATAGTAGAGGCAGTTCGGATATTTATGAGAAAAACAGGGGCATATTCGGAAGTGAAATTCACGAATTTATATCTTCTGCTCGGCGCTCACATGCAATTTCTCGTGCCTGCCGGCCTAGGTCGGGTAACAAAAGCGGCGGAACATATGACTGTCCTTTCGCCGGTTACAACTTTCTCTCTCTAAAAACTCTCTCTCTCTAAATTCTCTCTCTGGATTATACATTAACCTGCTATATACATATATATCGAGAGAAGAAGACTTCGAGCATTTTCATCATCGATTAGCCGTTCACTTGGTTTCTTTCTCTGTGGTAATCGCTTTCTCTCTCTACCTATATGTGTGTGTATATTGAGTATTGAACTACTGGTTTTGTCTAGTATGAACTTCGAATCTGTTAGATATTTGTTGAAATCGGATTGAATTTATACTTTAAACTCAGATTTTGAACTAACAGTGTAGTATGAAGCGAGATCTTGCACTTCAATGAGTGTATTTTTTTCAATCTGTATATTCCTTATACGTGTGTTCTTTTTACTCTTTATTATTTGCTATAGTTCACGCTTCTCGTGACAGAGCTTTAGATCTCTACATTTATCTGTGTTTGGTAGAGCTGGTCTTCTCTCTAGTATCGATTTGTTTCTCACATTTTAGTTAGATTTTAGTGTTTTTATAGCATGTTTGAGTGTTTGATGATGCGTACTGTGCATACTGATGTATTAATTTCACTCCTGTATTTCAGATTAGAAGCTAAATTGCTTTTTCTCTTTGTTTTCAGAGGAGATCAGGGTAGGATTAGGGTTTGATTAGGTTATCTGGATGACTTAATAGCACATTGGCATAGTACAGGGACCGATTAGATTATTTTGCCACACATAGGAAATGAAGCTTTATAATATATTGGGACTTTCAGATTAATGGATGAATAGTAAGAGTAATTTGCAGCATTAAGGGCCCAATTGAATGTTTAAATGATGTAGAAACTGGAAGCTCAAAATTTGTGATTGAAACATGGTTATGCATATGAATGTTGAAGTTCTAGAAGTAGATCTTGAATCTCGTTTAACAAACTTAAAAGAGTTGGATCAATAGCAAAACTAGAGATATAAGGATTGTTGGATGCATTTAGGGAGAGGAGATGGTCAAAGAAATTTGATAAAGATTGACAGATTATGAATAGGTTGGCTGGAGATATTAATATGGGTTGCTATATGAAAAACTGATGGAAATTTTTTAGAGTAAGAAATCCTTAGTTGCTGGAGTCCAAACACATAATTCATATTCTTGAATGAGTGTAGTCCAAGTCAAAGAAATTGTGGTGATGTCCTGATGCAGACAATTGAAAGGCAAGATTTGTGTTGTTTGTACATGAGTTTGAATATGCAAGGAGAAGAGCTTATTTACATGCTAAATAACTTACTGAAGGCTTGGAATATGACTCTTCGGAAGAGAAACACTATCTTCTTCACATAGAACTACAGAAGTATTATTATATTAGGTAAGAACTCCTTTTGGTCCATTATGGTGTCTTTTCTAAGGTGCTGCCTTTTGACAATGCTATAGAAACCTTAACAGTTAAGGATAACTCAATGGCTCAATTATCTGCTTTAATATAAATAAATAAGCCATGTCAGAAGCTTCACCGGTTATTGGAGGATGAACCTGTATAATCATACTCATCTATTGTTTAGTCGAATGAAGGAGTCAGGAACAAAGAGAAAGAAGGAACAGTTCAAAATAGTTTTGGCTTTTATACCATGAGGCATATTACCTTTTCTCTGACACATGTTGAATGACTACATGGTGAGAGCAGTATTAAACACGATTAATTTTAATTAATGTAGAGATATCATATGATGGAGTGCTTGTGAATTTCAAATAGAAGTACTGTGAAGTATTACACATTTGTGAGGAGTTATAATTGGAGGAAAACAGACCAGACAAGTACTTTAGGGCATTTCCAATTCTAAAATATGTTTTTTTGATTCATCTTTTCAATATTTTATCTGATCATCTTTCACATCCTAACACTACCATAAATCTGTAGCTTGTGCAGTGTCATTATTTCTTATGATACTGCGGTTTAAGTTTTTTTAAAAATTGCATGCCGAAACAGTTTAGTGGTCCCCCAAGATTTACTATACTTTTTTATTGGCCAAAGTGTCGTTTGAAGATCAAGTGTAGAACATTGCCTTCCTCTTTTATAAATATCTATATATGTATATGATTGAGACTGTCTATATATGATTGAGATTCTTTGGAATTCCACTTAAGTTATTAATTAGAATTACTGTCCACAATGCTTGTACTATTTGGAGAGAGCAACATAAATCCCTCTCCAGTACTCTAAAAGGCACTTAAAATATTGAAGAGTGGAAGTCGTGTTTGTTCTTGTTAGTTCTATTATTTTGTTTCTGCCTTTGTTCTTCTTAATATAATTAATATAACTCATTTTACTCATGAAGATCCTTGTTGACTTTCTTTGAACTCGAGCAATCTCAAGTGGTCCTTAGTTTAACACTAGGTGGGCATCTCATAGTCCACATTCTAAGCATCTTTGATTGAATGAGACCCAACTGGAATAATAGCCTTTTTTAAGTGGATATCTCCAAGGGTTTGTCAAATGTTTTGTTCATAACTTCATATACATACTTTTTTTCTTATTATTATCATTATTATTATTTTATAATATATCCATTGCTTGATCCATTGGTAAAGGCATAGGGTCCCAAAAGAAAAATTAAGTCACTTGATGCCTGTGTTGGTGGAACCATAATTGAATGATGACCTCTGTATTCTCATTTCTGAGTTTGCCTATATTTGCTATTCTCTTCTTAATAGCCCATTAATTAGTGTTGGTCTACATTAATCGAGGTTGCTAACACACTTTCTTTTGCTTAACAACCCAGACATTTACCTGTTACCACTATACAACCTGAGTTCTTACAATTGTGCTAATGCCCCCTAAAATTATGTGTCTCATATTAATGGTCCATTTTAGATCTTTCAACTTATAACATGCATTTAAAGCATTCACATATATGAGAAAGTATAAATTTTCCAAAAGAAAAAGAAACCCTCCATGGCCCATATTTAAGAGATTCTTATGTTATGTATGAGAAGCAACGGTGATTTATTTTTCTTTTCTTTTCTTTATTTATTTTTGATAAGTGACAGTAATGTTTATAATCCTGCATTTGACTTTACAAAGTGGACAATTATAATGGGATGTCTAAGAAATGAAAGATGCACCATCAAATTGGGATGAAGGGAGTAAATATTCAAGGTCGCAGGTGCAAATGATATTTTTATTTTCAATCACATGCAACAACTTTTGGACTTGATGGGTGCCAACTGCCAATTGTCTGATTTGGTTAATAACACAGTATTATTTCTTGAAGACCTTTTGAATTATAAGGAATTTTGAGTTATCTCAAGGGTTACACTGTGAATGCAATTTCTCCATTGGGGTTAAATTGACTTGTATAATTGAGTTGTGTAAAGTGTAGTTACAAGGATGCCGAGCCTTCTATTATTAGCTGTTTATTTGTACTAGTGAGTTCTGATTAAAATGACCTGTCTTGGCAACTAGCACATAATCGAACATTGTTGTTGGAATAGCAAGTCCATTTGATTTTTGTGCAACTGTGCAAGTGAAAATGTATATGCTGTTTTAACTTTTCCCCTCTAAACCTATGGTCTGGTTCTAACCAAGCTGGGATTTTAATGGAGGTTCTTAATAATTTGAAGGTTTTAAGTTTGCGAAAGACTAACTTAATATATTTCGAATGAAACTTCTACAAAATTAGGGATGAACTTGAGAGAACAGTGAAAACTGATGCTAAGGAACCCTTTTTATTATGTTGGTACGCAAACCATGAAGAAAGCAATTCTGGAGTGGAAGTTGCCCATATATTAGAGCAGCATGGATGAAATGGGAAAACTATTCTAGATTATTCTGTGGTTGTTGAACTATGGTGAGTGATATTATGGTAGTAGTGTTTCCCATTTAGTATGTACTCGGGTATTGCATGTACTTCTTGTGGTAGCTTCCATGCAGAATTTACGTCTTTCTAATTTTTCTCTCTCTTTTTTTTTTTTTTTGTTATTTATTTTTATCCTTTTGTATCTATTATTATTATTATTTTAAAAGGAGGTGGTGGTTTTGACGGATCATTTTTTTCGCTACTCTATTTGTATTATCATTTTTACTCTTTCCTTAAATTCTTTAAGGACTGCCTATGCTGAATATTTTCTTTTCTGCTTCAGGCTTTTAAGCCATTTAGTGATGTCGGGGACAGCTCTCGGAGATCTTAATACACTAGAGGGATCTGAGAGGAAGAATGAGAGCTCCAGTAAGGAGGGGAGCTTTACTAAGCCTCATGTTGAGCATACTAACAATGATGTTGAAGTAAGGCACAAAATCACTGCATCCCTGGTTGAAACTCCAATCATTGGAGATGAAACTGTGAAAGCTGGAGCAGAGGTAGGAATTCCAGAAGTGGAATACATTGAATCTGAGAATTTGACTGATGTTGAAGATGTGGATATGAGTGTCAAGGTAAGAGTATGTTCGTTTGGTTTCTTCTCATGATGCTTAGCTAAAGCTTCTGAAGTAAATTTCATCTGTTACTCAGATTATGTGGTTGTATGATGTCCATACATTTTTGTTCCCTTTTCAGACACTGTCAACTGGACTTGACTCCAAAGATTGGGTTTTGGTGTGTGAGGCCCTCAATAATGTACGTCGATTATCTATATTTCACAAGGAAGCAATGCTAGATATGTTGTAAGTCTTGAATTTTTATGCGGTGATCTGATTTGAAGAATTACATACCCATTTGCTTCATTCCATTTTGCTATCATAATTCGTTCTTAAAAGTTCATTTTTTGACCTGTACCACCATTAATTGTCATTATGTTTTGTTAAATAGGGGGAATGTGATCTCCCTTATTGTGAAATCCCTGAAGAATCCAAGAAGCGCTGTTTGTAAAACTGCAATAATGACATCTGCAGACATTTTCAATGCATACAGTGACAGCATAATTGATTCTTTGGATCCTATGGTACTTGTTCTATTTTATTTATTTTAAAAATTCTACTGCCACTTCAGTTAATTTATCCTTCTGATGAATTGCTCTCTCTTCAATTAAACTAATTCTTACCTCATTTTCCCCCAATGTGATCAAATGCCCTTGGTTTAGCTTGTACAGCTTCTCCTCAAGTCTTCACAAGACAAACGATTCGTATGTGAGGCAGCTGAAAGGGCTTTAATAGCCATGACTTCTTGGATTTCCCCCATCTTGTTGTTGCCAAAGTTGCAACCTTATCTTAAGCACAGGAATCCTCGGATTCGAGCGAAGGCTTCAATGTGCTTTTGTCGAAGTGTACCACGACTGGTAAGAATTAGACACCAGACACTCTCCTTCAACATTCACTTTTATAGCTGAAACAGCCCATCTATTTTCAAGTGTTCTTTCCCTCTTTAAGATAGCCTTTTAAGTTTTATCAATGTTTACCAATCTTTCAAGTAGGATTTCATCTATTATGGTCCTCTTGTTTCTCAAAGAGATTGATAGGAAACAAATGAAAATGCCTAACAAAGGAACTCTCTTTTATGAATTACCTTTCCCCTCTGAAATTTATATATTTTATTTTTATTCAACATATATTCACTTGTCAGGGGAAAAACAATGCTGAATGGTAACAACTTAGTTTTCTAAACTCATATTATGTATTGGCATATGGATATCACTCTTTGCTTTATTGTGCCAACTAGTCTGCATGTGAGACTTTCGTGCTGTAAATGTATTATGTGAGATCGAGTTGGAGCTTGATGAAGCTAGGATCGCTTTGTAATGGTGTTGGATCTTATATCTTTAGTGAGGGCTCTGTCCTAAAATTTGCACATAAACCAATCATTATAATCAAAGTTGTGAATTCTGTTTTATAAGGTGGTATCTTTTCCATTGTTTGTTAAACATCGTTTTGTTTTGTTGCATGCGTTACAGGGAGTTGAGGGTATAAAAACTTACGGGATTGACAATTTGATCCAAATAGCTGCATCGCAGCTCAGTGACCAGCTTCCCGAGTCCAGGGAAGCTGCTCGCACTCTCCTGCTGGAGCTGCAAACAGTATACTTGAAATCTCATGACCCAGCACCAACTACAGTATCTGAGGACCCAGAGATGGGTTCTTGGGAGAACTTCTGTCAGTCAAAGCTCTCACCTTTAAGTGCTCAAGCAGTACTGCGTGTGACCAACATTGATCGAGAGGGTCTTGTTCTGGGTTCCTAGCATGAGGCATACACAACATACATAGAGGTTTGATTAGTATTGTCTATTTTGTCCTCTTCCATTGTTTTGGTTTGGTTCGTTATCTTTTACTTGTAAATACTATGAAACACTGAGATGTTTGCAAAGGCGGTTGGAGCATGTTCTTGAGTTTTATATTTTTTTTTATATATAATATTTCATATATGGTTTACTTTTAGCTACCATTCCCTCTGTTACGGATGTGTAGTATAATCTATCAATAATTTCTATGCTGTGCATATTATTGTTGCAATCGCATGCCGATCTATTTCGTTTTTCAGAGTTTGAAATTTCCCTGTTGAAGATAGACTATTTTAACAAGCTTTTATTATCTCCCGACTATTTGGCATTAGAGAGACGTAGATCCAGGAACTTTGTGTGTTCTTTTCATTCAGAGGCTCCTTTATACAATAGGTTAGACGTACTCAGCTCTTATCTATCTTGCAATATAGTAATGATCTACAAATTTATCGTTAACGACGTCTCAAGTCCCTTGTTGCCTGCACATCCATGTCCTCCCAGAATCCCATTGTGGTACAGTAATCACGATACGTCTTGTTTATCAGATTAATGAAATATTTGCTTCATTGCTTGTTTTCCGCTGAACTTGTTAGAGCCTGGGCGATCATTAGCTTGCTAGAGGGGTTTAGGAAGGGTGTAAAAGTATTCAAGTTGGCATCTGATCTCAAATATACAGGTTTGTCATAATTCCTGTTGCAGCAGCTAAATATTGGACGAGAATTGTTTTTCATGCTTTTCCTTCATTTAGTGGAGGAGGAGAGGAAAAAGAAAAGAAAGGGGGAGGGTAGTGGTAGGCTTAGCAGTGCATTATTTTAAGTCCACCAAATTCCTTCCTCCCTCCCAGAAGGGGGAAAGTATCTTTTCTCCCTTCTTTTTAACCTTAGTAAATCCGATAAGACTAATTTCTTATTATTCTGATAGCTAAATTTATTCACACTTTCATGCCTCCATTAGAACTTGAATTCTTAACCTCCCCGTTTAGGAAGATGGAGGACATGGAAAGCCAGGACTTTGGTGGTAAGACTAATTACTTAATAAAAATGAAATTTCATAAGCATTAAAAAATTTGTTTCAATTATAAGTCACCTTATTTATGAGATACATAATATTAGTAATAATCAAAATACAAAAATTAGTAATTTTTTGTAACAAAACGTGACATGAGAAATCTATATATTTATTCTAAATTCTTGAAGAGATATTGCTTAAATTTTTGTACATCAATTGATTACTTTAAAGAATTACAAAATAAATAATTAGGTACATTTTGATAATTGTTATCCATAATAAATCTTATAGGTAATTGTTCATAATACAATAAATGAAAAATCGTTTGCTAAAGATTGTTACTTTGGGATAAACTCGTGCAAATGGATGGGAAGGCTCTTCTGGTTTTTTTTTTTGTTTTAGCCATAAATGCCTAGCTTTTTGAGAGCCGATTTAGAAAGCCTTTTATGGGCTCAGGCCTTAGGTTATGTGCCTAAGGTCTGTTACTGTTAGACCATCTTAAAGAATGGGCTCATTTCAACATCCAAGTCGGACTTGGCACAGTTGCCCTTATAAAAACACAAGTACCCTATTCTATCTTTCGGGTTTGGGAGAGAATTCGGTTTGTGCAGCCGTGTTGTAGAGATTTTCAACAGACTTAAATTTATCTTTCAGCACATTTATTTTAGATTTCAGCCAATGTTTTGTCTAGTTTCAACATATTAGTATTTTGTGTTAAAATTTAGAGCAAATATATTAAAATACAACGTAAGTGCGTTAAAATTTAGAGAGTTAAAAAACAAGATAAGTGTGTTGAAGATCTTTAAAACATGCTATAAGAGCATCTCTGGTTTGTTAAAATTTTTTTTTATGTAAAATATACAATACCATATGTGATTAATAATTTTATTTCATCACCAGCAATCTGATAAGATATATTGCCACATCATCAAGGTTTTATACAGCCACGTAAACATAATTTCTCTCTCGTTCCCTTTTTCCACTCGCGGTTCTCTTTTTTCTCTCTTATTCCTTTACGTCTCTTTGTTTCTCACTTTTAGAGCGCCATAGATAAGAATCTGCAATTCGCTGCAAGGTAAGAAACCATCTTTTATTTTTATTTTTTAATAAAAGTAGTTTGATTCATCACTTTCGTATCATCTTATCTTTTGTAATCATCGCCATAGATTATAGGGGTTTTTTTGATTTTTTTATCCTTTTATAATCTATTCTAATGAGATATATATGTACTAGTCAAAGATTCGATATATATTTTAATCACGATTTTATATAATTGTTGTTTGATACAGTTATACAAATTAAATTTTTTTTTTTCTTTTGTCAATTTAATCGCAATTGTTTTTGCATATTTTTGGTTTTTGTAGAAAGTGAAATATAAGGGGAAATTATTAATTTTTTCCTAATTGAGGGAGGATGGAGACGTGAGATTTAATCGCAAAAAAGTAAATGAATCACGTAAGTTTGTAAAAATTATGTAGGGTCTTAGTATGACAAGTGGTTAGTTGTTAGTGGAGAATATTTTTTTACACAAAATATATAAAATAATCGTTAGAATTAAAAATAAGTAGTACAAAATTTTTATATAAATCTATTCTTGACAAATCAAATTTTGTTTTTTTTTTTTTTAAATGGTAAGCAGAAGCCCTAACGGCACTTACAAAGCAACCCAAAAAAAACCAAGCACATGGACCCAACAAAAGCCCACAGTTGGGACCACAAGCACAACACCTTTTGAGCAAAACAAGACGTGACCCATGCAAAGCACAGAAACAAGGCCACACGAAAGCACAAAAGCGCAAACAAGACGTGTCCCATCAACAGCCACACGAAAGCACAAACAGAGGCCAGAACCCGTTGAGATTGACGTGGCGTAACTCCGGCGCCACAACCAGCAAACCCAACACCGGCGAACCCAACACCGGACGGAGATAAGACAAACATTTATAACAACGGTTATAAATGCTCTAACAGAGTATCAACAGCCTATCAATCATGAAAGGATGGAAATAAGACAAACATGCAATCCCCACAAATGGACAAAGCTTGCTTCGCATTAAGAGGAATTATCTGCTATGCTGATATGGACCATTAAGAACAGGCCACGTGTGAAATATAATAAGAAGAAAAGTTGTCCAAGAACAGAGGATTAATTGAGTCTCCGTAACCTTTTATTAGACGGTGCATCAATGGCCCATCCTAGTACGGAGTTGCCTCTGTGCTGTTTGTTTTAAGATTCTTTCCCAATGGGGTAGCCTTGTCCTTGGGGTAATGTCGGGGACACTATATATATATATATATATATATATATATACACTTACACTTCGCCAGCTTGGAGGGAAGAAAAAATGGGTTAGGAGGAGGACGAGAAGGAGAGTGATGGATATTGGATGAGATATCCTAACACAAGAAAGATGGATGTGTCCACATCCATCTTTCTTGTGTTAGGATATTTCATCCTTATATATATATATATATATTATTGGAAAAATTACATATAAATGGAGTCAAAGTTTCATATTTACTTAGAGACTGAGTCAAAGTTCCATATTTCTCTAAAATGGATTGCTGAGGTGGCACATGATTTTTTACTGTTTAAAAAATTGTGATGCCTAAAATGCCCTTCCCTAATAAAAAAGTAGTACCTTCAGTTCAAAAAAGTAGTACCTTCAAAGAAAAAGTAGCACCTTCGCGAGTGTTTAAAAAATATGGTACCTGGACGCTAAAAAGTAGTACCTTCAGTTCAAAAAAGTAGTACCTTCGAAGAAAAAGTAGTACCTTCGCGGAAGGGTATTTTAGGCATCACAATTTTTAAACAGTAAAAAATCATGTGCCACCTCAGCAATCCATTTTAGAGAAATATGGAACTTTAACTCAGCCTCTAAGTAAATATGGAACTTTAACTCCATTTATATGTAATTTTCCCTATATTATTAACATTTGACGTTGGATGAATTAAGGATGCCTCTAAGGTACTTTCCAATGTAGAAAAGACATTGCCACTTTCCTATGTATAGATAGGTATGCTGGACCACCTCTCAGATGTAAAATCTCTATGACCATCACCTTTAGGCCTACACTTCATTAAGGTTTAACAAATGGGCCTTTCTTGCAATCACATATAAACTCATTATTGTAATATAGTTTTTTTTTTTTTTTTTTTACTTCTCTTACATGAAAACAAGTTTAGTTATATATAAGAAAACATAAATAAGTTTCGTCAATATATAACACACTGTGATGCTCTAATATTAGGAGCCAATTTTAGTTGATAGTGACAGAAAAAAAAAACTGAACTCATAAGTCTCTTGTCTTGTATTCATATGCTGTGTATTTTGATAATAACCTTTGCATATCCTCACTATATATATATATATATATATTGAGTGGACAACTGGTGCTGGTCCAACTCAGGTCCCCTTCATGAAAACTTGCAAACTCAACAGCCCGTTACCATACGCTTATATGTGATTCAGATTTTCCCTATCTTATCTATCTAGATTTAACTGAGAAGCTACAAAAGCCTCTCACATTTCTATCACTATCATTAACATAATTCTCACTAAATTCACTTTCTAATCTTAGGTCAAACGGGTATTATTAAATACGATTTTGAACCTAGAGATGAATGGATTGACCCGTCGTCTGAATCTGGATTTTTTTTGTGTTTAAGAGAGATTCTGTGCTATGGTGCAACGTAGCTATATCACAGTGCAATACAACTATATATTAAAATGTAACACACATGTAATATTTTTAAAAAGTTATGCAATATATTTATATCAAAGATACCTGTAAAATATATTAAATCGTGTTACAACGTTATAAACTATTCAATTGAGAATTTAACATGTCTATATGTAAATTGTTACATTATTGATTAAAAGTTTAAAGTTGTATTTGCGATGTTAAATTGTTGCATTAGGCACATGACCAACAAATGACAAAAATGAAACAAAAGAATTGTAACTGAAAATAGAAAACTGTATAAAAACTTTGTTTTGTTCAGTTTTTTGATAAAAAAATGTAATATTAGAGAACTGCCATTTATAATTTTTTTAAATTTTTTTTCAATCTATTTTTCTGAATTTTTGATAACTATTTCTCAAGTGACAAATAAATTAAACTAGCGCTAACTTTTTTATTACTTATTTGAAAATAAAATAGTGTTTGTGGTGAAAATCACAATTACAGTACCTAGATTGTGTATCTGAGCATTAAATCTCA